GGGGGGGGAGCCCTCCTCAGACTCAGGGACTCGCGGAGATGTCCAAAGATGGCTCGTGGAGACGTCAAAAGATGCGTGCGTCGCCGGCGGTTCACGACACAAGTCGGTGACCCGGCGGGCCGGGGGCCACGGGTACCCGAACAGTAGCCGACAACAAAGGCGAGGTACCTTTGGGAACATTGTCGGCTAACACTCCTGTCTACTGGATTTCCCCTCTCCAGCACACATTTCTTGACCCTCGATGGATTTCAAGCACACGTCTGCGGTCCACCCACATACCCGCCCTTGCGCATGCGGCTCTGTCCCTGTGAATACCTTTGAGGTTAGCCCAGTGACCACGGGCGCCTTCATACATGCAAGTCTGCTTACCTAGATAGGTAATTACCAGACAGCCAGCCAGCCAACCGCATAAGTTAGTGCACCCCCTGTCGGCGCACCCCCCCTTTCTGCGCACCTTTTCCATATAAACTTACTGTTTTCATAAAGCATTTAAAAATCGTAGAAATATTATATAGGTACAAAGCAACCGGCGTTATATAGTTAAAAGAATAGGGTTTTACATAATATATTAAACTTGTATGCATTTTATACGCTGCTTTGTTTATGGAAGAGACCTCAGTGCTTTTACTTAGTATATGCGTGGGGAAAAACCCTTGGGTTGGGCTTAGGGGGGGAAACCCTGCGCCTGCGTTCCGCTTCTGTAGCGTTGCGCGGTGTTGAGCCGGTGGAAATATATTAAACTTATATTTATTTCCAGTATATAAAGTATAATTTCGATTTAAACTAACATACGCTAAAATGTTAGTGTCTTTTACCAAATTTATGCAATTTATAACATTTTAAAATATGAAATAACTTTTTAAACAAATATATTATATATATAAGCTTAAGTATAAGTATTACATAATAAATAAAGTATTTACGTAAAACTTTAAGTTTTTAAAAATTAAATGCAGGTTATTGCATATATATATATATATATATATATATACATATATATAGCGTTAATATTAAAAAAGTTATTAACAATTTACTATTGTCATGAGATGCATACATTTTGTAAGGAAACCTTAACAATTCTTTTATTTTTGCTTATACACATATTATAACTTATTAAAGGGTGCGGGAGTAAAACCACACCACCAACACATTACTTACGAAGAAGACGCGGAGTAGCAGAAACCTCGAAGGGAAAGAGTTTTCACCCAGCTTTACATTAAACAGCTATCGGCTGGAAGCACGGTTTTTACCTTTATTTAGTTAACCCCGTAAAGCTCCCCATGGGCTATATAGCTCGAAAGGGGTAAATAAATATATATATAGCTTATTAAATATATAAGTATATATTTTAATACGTTATATAAAAGCGTTCCCTTCCGGTTATATAAAAACGTTTACTTTATATTTATATTATGTTTATATAATGTTTAAATGCTTTATGCAAACAGTGAGTTTTTGTGGAAAAGGCGTGGAAAAGTGCGCAGAAAGGGGGGGTGCGCCGACAGGGGGTGCACTAACTTGGGACGCAGGCAGCGCATGCCTCTCCATCCCCACTAACGGCTTCGGGCCGCACACCTCGCCGTTTTAGATTGTCTTCTGCCAGTAAGTCTTCCGGCAACTTTGCCGGTGAGTTTTCCGGCAACTCTACCGCTACATTTTCCGGCACACCAAATCTCTCACGAAGCAACGTATCCGCTCCTAGCCCCGCTTGCTTGGTTTGCCCTGGAATCTTGTCTTAGTCGGCTATAACTGCATGTGCTGAGCGGAGAAACTAATCACTCCGAGTCCGAACTTACCAGCGATTTCTTTTTGGGGGTTGCCCTGCTGCGGGGGGCGCGCCATTCCGCAGCCATCACGAACCTGGGTGCCTTGGGCCTTGGCATGGGCTCCCTTGATGACGCAACCGTCCCGGCCCGCAGATGCTCATCTAACCGATCGGGATCGGGGTGATTTGTGTCTCGTGCGGGTCAAATTGCTGTTATGGTGTTATTCCAATCCTCGGCGTTTGATGCCCCCATAATGCTTGCGGCTCACGCCACCAACAACGCGCCATAGCACTATAACAAGCTTTCCGCCCCTGGTTTGACATGCGCTCCACCAAGGATCTCGGCAATATGGAAGAGCGATTCATGATGGCGCCCCACCAAGGATCTCGGCAATATGGAAGAGCGATTCATGATGTCCAGAGGTTCCCCCAAAAGGACGAACGGCCAAGCAAGCCACCCCCACTGAATGCCTACGCCCTTGCATTAGATAAGAACTTTTGCGAGCCTGGGGTCGGAGGAACACGAGGGACTGACTCTTGCATTTTGTCTCATGAGCCGGAAGACGGGTGTTGCATCCGCAGCAGGGAGGGGCTGACCTGGCTGGTGCAACCTCACCTTTGGGTAACCTTGGGCCTGTGCCTAGACATGCATTGACGTTTGACACATCTCCGTGCTGAGTGATAGGTATTCGTGCTATTTTGTGCTTGCGTGCACGTGTGTCTGCACGGTGTATATTAAGAGGTTGCCCTTACGCTCCATGTTGCGTTTCCCCTCTCGCCTCAACAACCACCCCATCAGATTATACCACCTACCCTGGCACATTTGCAACATTCTTGCTAGATCACCGCATCACAACCGGACAGAAACCATGGCTTCCTGGGATAACCGCGTCATCACCAATGAGCATTTGATTGGATATGTCGATTCCAGCACTGCGCCGCCCGATATCCAGGCGGCCCTCAAAACCCTGCCGTTCGAGAGAAACGTTTTCAAGGTACGCATTTTCCCCCCCACATTATTCCCGAACATCTGCCGAACGCACACAGCCGCCACGCAGGGATCGTTGAAAGAAAGAACAACAATAAGCGGATGGAGCCGAGGAGCTAACCTTAAACCCCCACCCGCCCCACTTTTTGTTGCACAGCTCCTTGCCAATTCCACCGTCTCATTCAAGCCATTCATGACCCTCCTCACAACTATGTGGGCTGAGGACCGCAAGATCCGCTCTACTGAGTGGCAGATCGCTGTCCTCCGCACCGCCGCGACCCTCGACGCCCCCTACGAGTGGGACGTCAACGAGCCCGTGGCCCGCGTCTTCGGCATCGCCGACGCGCAGTTCGCCGCCATCCGCGACACCAAGAAGCCGCTCCCCGCGGACCTGTTCACCCCGCGCCAGAGGCTCGCCGCGTGTGTCATCGAGGAGCTCAGCGGCAACAACGTCGTCGGCCCGGAGACCATGAAGGAGGCCAAGGCCCTGTTTGGGGACGAGGAGATCATGGAGCTGTTCTTCGTGCACGGCGTCTACGGGTTCCTGGCCAGGATGATGAACAGCTGCCGCATCGACTACGATGAGGAGATCCCCGGCCTGCTTGACATCCTGACGAAATACAATGCCAAGGCCATCGAGAAGGAGAAGCAGCAGCAGCAGGAGGACCAGGTGCAGCAGAAGTAGACAGGGCGTTGAATGTAGCTAGTACAAAGCCTATTCCTATGCAAGGAGAATGGGTTTTTTATTCAAGCTCAAATAGCTCCAAAGTCAAGGACATGCTTCCCGGCTCCAACCTTTTCCTTCCACTCCCCACTCAAGGCTAAAATAACCTGCTTCTCAAAAGCGTCCGAGCTCTCCTGACCAGTAAGAGCCGCAGCCTTCGGCACTTTGATCCTCGTGACGTCGGGTGCCGAAAGCTTCCCCCCGGCCAGCAGCTCGGCAAACCACCAGAGCAGGGACTCCTGCTGCGTGGGGGTGCGCCTGGCCAGGTTCTCTGACAGGCGAAAGTGCCCGAAAGACACCTCGTTCCAGAACAGCAGCCGCTGCGACAGTCGCACCACGCCGTCCGCGCCGCCGAGGGAGCCGTAGTCGGCGTACGTGGCCCCCTTCGACAGGAGGGAGGCCAGTCGCTCCCCGGGCTCCCCAAAGACCCCGTCGAGGGCGAGGGCGACCCGCCCCTGGGCCGCGGCCTCCGCCAGGCGAGGATGGGCGTCGACCCCTGACTCGCGGAGCTCGCCCTCAGTGATGACGACGCTAGCGCCGTCTCGCTGCAAGACCGGCCTGAGGGCCTCCAGGCCTGCCGAGTCGCGGTCGCGGACGACGCTGCAGACGTGGCAGCCCTTGAGTCGCGCGAACTGCGTGACCAGACGCGCGATGGCCCCCGACGCGGCGTTCTGGACGATCCAGTCGCCCGGCTTGAGCGGACGTGTGTCCTCGACCATGAGGTAGGCGGGGAGGAAGACCATGCGCAGCAGCGACGCGCCGAGCGGGTCTGTGTCAGGGGGCAGGCGGATGAGGTCCTCGGCCTTGACGATAGCGGTTCGCCGCCAAGTCCCAAGGCCATGGCGGCGAGGGATGACGAGATCGCCAGGGTGCAAGTCGCCATCGCGGCCAGGGGCCGAGGCCGAAGCGGCGTCGCCCTCGACGACAGGCATGGCCTCGACCCTAGCGACACCATCGTACCCAAGGATTCCCTCGCCGTTCTCGTCCTTGAAGACGGGCTTGACGGGGTAGAGACCCGCAATGACCATCAGGTCTTGCGGGTTGATGGGCGAGATTTGAAAGGAGACAAGGACATGGCCAGGGGCGAGCTCCGTGTTTGTGATTGACTGCCGCCCGCCGTAGTGAAAGTGGACGCGCTCTGCAGCAGTCTTGGAGGTTACCGCCGTGGCCGCAGCTGTAATGGAGAACTGGTCGCTCATGTTTTTTTCGTAGCAGTGTTCAAGTGAAAGGAGGAAATCTCGGTTCTGGTTGGTGGCTACAAAAAGGGGGAGAGCAGAGTTACAACGAGAGTAATTACATCGGACGATTTAAATGCTCACCATAAGTGGGTGTGTAATTAAAAAGGAAAGCTCAACCCTGGGGCGTGCATCGGTATGAATGTCTGGACATATTGTGCATGGGTAGTAGTAGACTCACCACCTTGATCCTGACAAGCAGGCTTACCAATGTGGCCTGACTCGGTCAAGCGCCCCCACTGCGGCCCGGCCCATTCAGGGCACGGATGGCGATCCGAACCGTTTCTACACAGTGTCCACGCACCCATCCCTGTGAGTCGCGCGCGCATGAGCAAGGGCCCCTTGTATAGTGCCCAAACAAAGTCCTTAGAGCCAACGACACAACTCAACCAACAACACTCTTTCCCCACCCACGATTTCTAATCAACCACCATTTGTAATCACAACCACTTGCCTGCCGCAGAGCTTCCGCGCCCTTTCGTGTGCCTATATCACCCCGCGCACCTTGATCACCCCAAATTTTGATGTAAGCCACCCATATTAGCACGCGCATTTGAAGCTAGACTACCCGCCAACAGCTGGTGCCAACCCCCGCGCTCTTGTACCGAAAATCCATCTGGCCGACTCTTGTTCCTCCCCAAGCCACACCTTTTCCATCATGGCGGGCGGCGAGAAAGCATCCCTCCAGCCGCATTCGCAAGACGATGTCCTTAACAGCTCTGGGCCGCCTTCTGGTGCAGAGTCCGCGTCGGCGCCCAAAGACGCCCCTGATGAACCGCCCAGGGACATTCATGGAGTCAAGGTAATTGGTGTTCCTGGAGAGACATAGTTACCGCCCGTTTACTAACGACCTTGCCATCAGTGGGGTCTTGTCATAAGTGCCCTCCTCTCGGTGCTCTTCCTCTACGCCCTCGACAACACCGTCGTCGCCAATGTCCAGTCCAAGGTGGTCGAGACCTTCGGCCGCGTCGACCTCGTCCCCTGGCTCGGCGTTTCCTTCGCGCTCGGCTCCGCTGCCACCACGCTGCCGTGGTCCAAGGCGTACGGCACCTTCTCGGCCAAGAAGCTCTTCATCGGTAGCACCGTGGTCTTCATGGCCGCCTCGGCGCTCTGCGGCGCCGCCCCGACCATCGACGCCTTCATCATAGGCCGCGCCATCGCCGGCATGGGCGGCTGCGGCATGTACATGGGCCTGTTGACCCTGCTGTCCGTTACGACCACCAACACGGAGCGGCCCACGTACCTGAGCCTGACGGGCTTCATCTGGGGCGTCGGCACCGTGCTCGGCCCCGTCGTCGGCGGCTCCCTGGGCGAGAGCGCCGCCACCTGGCGCTGGGCCTTCTACCTGAATCTGCTGGTCGGCGTCGTCGTCGTGCCCATCTACTTCATCCTGCTGCCCGACTTCAAGCCCCAGCAGGGCGTGCCCCTCCTCACTCGCTTCGCCCAGATGGATTACCTGGGCACGGTCCTGTCCATTGGCTGTCTCCTCTGCATCATCATGGCTATGAACCTGGGCGGTGTCCTTTGGGACTGGGACTCCGGTAGCAGCATTGGACTGCTTGTCGCCTCTGGTGTCCTGGCCATCCTCTTCATCCTGCAGCAATGCTTCTACATCGCAACCTCGAGAGAAAACCGGTTGTTCCCCATGCATTTCTGGAGGAGCCGCACCATGATTGCTCTCTTCTTGACCATGAGTATGTTCTCCCTTGTTCTCCCATCTCTTCAAAGCAAGATTTCGGCCTGTTTTTAAACACGGCTCGCTGACTTTTCCGTGCAGTGCTCGCGACCTTCGGCAGCTTCATCTCCATTTACTACCTGCCCCTGTACTACCAGTTCACCCGTGGCGCCACCGCCGTTGAGACCTCGGTCCATCTCCTGCCCTTCATCCTCTTCCTCGTGGCGTTCAACCTGGTCAACGGCCATTTCATGGGCAGGACGGGCTACTACTACCCCTGGTACATTGCAGGCTCGGCTCTGGAGCTCATTGGCGGCGTTCTCCTCTGTATGTGGCAGCCTCCCGAACAAAAAAAACAAACACTTTAAACCCCAACACCCCTAACAGGAACTAACATATTGGCACCTCCCCATCTAGACACGGTCGATGAGAACACGTCCAACGCCAAGATCTACGGCTACACCATCATCCTCGGCACGGGCGTCGGCTGCTTCTGCCAGGCCGGCTTCGCCGTCGCCCAGATGAAGGTGGCCGCTGCCGAGATCCCCTACTGCGTCGGCTTCATGACGGTCGGCCAGATGCTGGGCATCGTCTTCGGCACCGGCATGGCGGGCGCCGTCTTCGTCAACCGCGCCGAGCAGGCCCTCGCCGCCCTGTTCCCCAACGCCACCAAGGACGACATCTCCAACGCCATCGCGGGCGCAACCAGCACCCTCATCAACTCGGCCTCTCCCGAGCTCAGGGCGGAGGCCATCCGCGGCATCACCAGGGCCATCCAGCAGGCCTTCATCCCCATCATCGCCGCCGGCGCCATCTGTCTCATCTGCAGCGTGGTCATGAAGAGGGAGAAGGTCTTTACCGAGAAGGGACAGGCCGTTGCCATGGGTGGCTAATGGCACTTGACGCGGGCTTTGTAAGGAGTATCTCGCTACAAAATCCTCATGGTCTCAAGCAACCTGTTGGCCCGCCCGACAAGAACTACCATCAAAGGTTCACAAAGCTTTCATTTGTTTTAATTTTAGAAGCTAGCCTTTACTCATAAACGCCGGTGCCGTTTATGTTCAATTCACTCTTTACAATCCGCAAATTTCATGGCCCGTTTGGAAGTCCAACCAGTTATTGAGTTTACCTTTACCTGCAAATTCTTTCTCCTGGCGGTTGAAAGGAGACAGCCCCATTGAATTGCGAATCCCGGTCGGCAGATTTAGGGCCCGCCTTGAAATCCATGGTCGGAGTGCACTTGCCGAAATCGGCGTCGCCAACCTTCACCCGCTTTTGGAGGGGAAGTGCTATATTACCCCGCGCGTATTGTTATTTGACCCCAAAATAGCGGAGTCACCGTGCAACACAAAGTATCAAAGTACCTCTACTAGTTTGGGCCGGGAATCTGTGCTTTTGCTGGTTGTTCAATGCCTGTCAATAACGTAACTGTGTTTGTAAGTAACGTGCAGGAGGCGCTGAAATCGACTTCCCGTAAGGGAGAAGTCGGAATCGTTGGCAAATAGGTTAGGGGCTTAGGGCCCACCTCCCAAATTAGCTGCAGGGGTTTCCGATCCTGATCCGGCAGCGGTCGGGGTTCGCCCTAATGCTTCTTTTTCGCCCACTGTTTTAGCCTTTACCCAGGCCAACGGGGCCGGCTTTTTAATTAAATAGGTAAAATATTAAATTAAAGGCTTTGTTGCGGGATGTTACGGTACAATCGCTTATAAGGACCTCGCATGGGTTGTAGCCCCAGCTACAACAACGTTCCTCTTTTGCCTTAGTGTAACGGGTACTACCTTGGTCTGGTCCCGTAACACGGGAGGGCCAGATAGCGTTAAGAAGCATTATCGATTTAAATAAGGCCAGAACGATAAAGATCGCGGGTTTTTTTAGGATTAAGGATTAAAGTTGGTACAAAGATTAAAAGGGGTTGGGCCTTAATAAGCAAAGCGGGGCCATTAGTGGGTTAGGCCCAAGCCGGATCTATGCCTGGATTTGCTTGTTAACCAATGCAAAAAGGAACGGCCGTGCCAACGACCGTGCAGTACGGGGAATTAAATTAGTAACTTCATGAATTGACGTAATCAACATGGGAAAACATCGCTCGTTATTTGGGTACATTCAATTTGGCCCGTGAGACGGTACGCGGCGATGCTCACACGTGTGCACAGATGGATACGGGGTTAAATAGCAATACGCGCGGGGTGATAAGCACTCCCCTTTTCGAGAGTAGCAGCGCTTGAAGGAGCAGCCACGTCGCGGGGCACGGCCGCGGCCGATGCGACAGCGGCCAGGAGGGCAATAACGAGTGTCTTGGTCTGCATTTTGCTGGAAGGGAGGTTGGTTTGAGTGGGCGTAGGCGTGGGCGGCTGGGATCCGTTCTCTGGGTATTGCTCCGTGTAGATAGTTGAGGACGAAGAATTAAATTGTTTCCGGGACCAACGCAAAGTGAAAGAGAGGAGATCAACTCCGAAAGAATGGAAGTGGTTGCTTGTGTGCTTTGTAGGGCTAAGCTGATGGTAAAGCCAAGGACTCGAGGACAGCAGTGATCTAATGACAGCTGTTTATATACCATAGGCTCATCGGGATAAGAAACAGTCCGGACCTACTTACGAGGTGGCCCCGCACCATGTCGGCGTTGCCGCCTAGCCCGCCAGACCCAAGTTCCCAGGGCGGGTACGCAACATCAGACACAAAGAGTCCACGCCGCGACATCGGTTAGGATCTCTGTCCTCAAAGGGACATGGAAACGTGCGCATGTCTGTCTGTGGAGCAATATCAGGTGAAGTCGGTTGCCGGCAAGGTTGGACCGGCCCAATGAGCGATCGGCGTGGCCAAGACGATCCCTTCATGGGGGCCCGGCAGCCAGGGTCTCTATCATGAGATGAGATGAGCAGGACGGTCAACTTAGCGCACCACCGTGGGTGTCGTGGTGCGGCAGGGAGGCGGGGGTGATGCAAGTGTGTGAGGTATCACGCTTTGGCGATACCGGATTGGGAAAGTGGCATGTCTATTTCTGGCTACCACGGGTACAGATTGTGCGTGCGCGATCCAGGTCTATCCATCGGGGTGGGCCGTGCACTCACGTGCCCTAGGCCCCACCTCATACAGCAAACGAGGGCCATGGGCCATCCTGAGTCGCATTGGGACTGGGGATCGTCGCGTGAACGATCCCGACCGTTTTGGGGCAAAAGGGCATGGAGATGGGACGGATCCGTTCGCATTTTGCGTCGTGACCTCGTGCCAGAAGGTCGAGAATCTATGTATATCGGCTTGTTCAAGTTCCCCGATATAGGTCGGATGATCTTGGACGCATGATAGATGCCACCTACCCGTCCCATGACTGCGTGGTTTAAACATTTGAGAGGAGGCATCTGGAAGAGAGATATCAGTGCACATACAGTACAATCAGATGTAACGTAACCGGGCTGGTCGAGTGGGAGATGTTTCCAGGGGACGCACGCTGGTCGAGGGCATCGTTGGCCAGCCAAGACTTGGGCTAAAAGCTTGACCAAACGTCAGGGCACTGCCTGACAGCCAGGCAGATTGCCGACGGAAAAACGAGGCAGAACGGGGACGACCTGGCAGTCTGCATTTTCATCATGCGGCATGTCGCCCGAGAACGCGCCGTCCGCCAGCGAACTGCAGCGGTACTGCCCACCCAGGTGAGACGCACACTTGCCGCACCAAGATAGGCAGTGGAGAGGATGCGAGGCGATGTCCCAGCGCAGCAATTGATGCGTGGAAGCCCACGCAGCTCCAGGGTTGGCCGGCAGCGGGTGGAAAGGCGTGTCGAGAAGAAACCCACTCGCCCGAATCCTTGCCCCAGTCAGGCGCTAAAGAGCAAGAGGTCTAGATCGTCGGATAAGCTTGAGAATTAAGCATGTGTCGGCATGACGCCCCGTCCAGGCACGAGGACTTGCATTGGATGACCGACTGACTCTGTGAGAGAACCGTGCGCTTGAGGTCGATGTTTACTTGCTCGCAGTCAAAATGGGGGCATCGTGGCATTTCCACGTTGCCAACGGCTCGCACTTTTGGACAGCGGAAGCGGCCTCCGCGGCTAACCGGTTGGCTGGCTGGCTGGCTGGCTGGCGTCAAGGCCTTGTGGAAAAGACGCGGCAAGGAGAAATGTTGTCTTTCGCCTTCGGCGCCAACCTAGCCTGGGCAAATCCCATCAAAGAAGGGAGCCAATCACAGTCGCCTGATTTGGCAGGGGAGCCCCTTGGACAGCTTCGATGACCCGCCGACATCAATGACGCCAATATGATGGGTCGACTTTGTGTGGCCAGGAGCCAATGAATAAGGCAGCAAATGCGGCTGGCGAATTACGGATGCTTGTTTAATAATTGCATCATCAACGGCACAATACCGTTAGTGGGGTGGCAGGCAGAAGTAACATTGAAGCAACTGCGGCGTCAGGATGAGCTCAACAGGAGTTCGGGTGGAGAGCTCTCACCGGGCATGACGAGCAAACAAGAAAGGAATTGATGGTAAGATTGAGGTCTTTTCAACTGAAGAACCCGAACTTTATCATTTACGGCTGTTGATGATATACAGCCCGACGGATACCTCACTTTGCTGTTGCCCAGGCCACTGGAAATAGGAGAAAGCCATTGGGCTCTGCTCGCTTTTTGTGTCTTTTTTGGTCGATCGCAGGCACACATCATCGATCAGTCCCTTCGGCTCCCCGCCTTGGCGACTGCCGTATTAGCGGGGCAGCCCCAGTCATTTCCTAATCCGGCGACCAAGACAGCTTCATTGACGTCGTTGCAGAAGCTGCTGGTTGATCGATCCAATCGGGCGTTGTCTAGGCCTCGACAGTGGAGGTACCTGCCAGCACGTAGACATGTGTGACATGCCACACCTAGGTACCTGTACTGGGCGGGCAGGAACCTCCGGCGGGTGTATGGTGGCGGAGGGTTTGCTCCTCGGGGTGGCATTAGAAATCTCCTTCCAACTTCATCGTCAGGAGCGCGCCTACTACCTAGTAGTAGACAGATGCCTTGCCGCATTTAACTCGAGTGTCCCGTTCTCCCACTCTCGTCCACTTCCAATTTCTGGTCCCAGTTCACCTCTACAAATCTGGCTTTGATATCTGGCAAAGCTCCCTCCATACGCACTCCCATCTCGCCAGAACACATGGCGTCCCTCAAAGACATTGGAGATACCCTAAAGAAGGGCCAGTCGTACATGATGCACTCGCAGGGCGACAAAATAGCAGACCTCGGCCGCAACACGGTCACGCCGTCGGCCCAAGGCAGGATGACGTCGGACGCCGGCACGCGCATGCCCAGCGCTGACGACTGGCTGCGGGTGGTGAGCGACCAGCACACGGGGCCGTCGCTGCTCGAGGACCAGCTGGCCCGCGAGAGGATCCACCGCTTCGACCACGAGCGCATCCCCGAGCGCGTCGTGCACGCTCGTGGCACTGGAGTGCACGGCAGGTTCACGCTGCACAAGAGCATCGAGCACCTGACGTGCGCAAAGGTGCTGACGGACACGTCGCGCGAGACGCCCGTCTTTGTGCGCTTCTCGACGGTGCTGGGCAGCCGCGGCTCGGCCGACACGGTCCGCGACGTGCGCGGCTTCGCCGTCAAGTTCTACACGCCCGAGGGCAACTGGGATATTGTCGGCAACAACATACCCGTCTTCTTCATCCAGGACGCGCTCAAGTTCCCCGACGTGATACACGCCGGCAAGCCCGAGCCCGACACCGAGGTGCCGCAGGCGCAGTCGGCGCACAACAACTTCTGGGACTTTATGTACCAGCACTCCGAGGCCACGCACATGTTCATGTGGGCCATGAGCGACCGTGCCATCCCGCGTTCGTACCGCATGATGCAGGGCTTCGGCGTCAACACCTTCACCCTCGTCAACGCCCAGGGCGAGCGCCATTTTGTCAAGTTTCACTTCACCCCCGAGCTCGGCGTCCACAGCCTGGTCTGGGACGAGGCCCTCAAGCTGGCCGGCCAGGACCCCGACTTCCACCGCAAGGACCTGATGGAGGCCATCGCCAACGGCGCCTTCCCAAAGTGGAAGTTTGGCGTCCAGGTCCTGCCCGAGAGCCGCGAGCACGACTTTGACTTTGACATCCTGGACGCCACAAAGGTCTGGCCCGAGGACCTCATCCCGGTCGACTACATCGGCACGCTGGAGCTCAACAGAAACATCGACGAGTTCTTCCCGGAGACGGAGCAGGTCGCCTTTTGCACCAGCCACCTCGTCCCCGGCATCGGCTTCTCGGACGATCCTCTCCTTCAGGGACGGAACTTTTCGTACCAGGACACGCAGCTCAGCCGCCTGGGCACCAACTGGGAGGAGCTGCCCATCAACCGGCCCGTCTGCCCCGTCATGAACTTCAACCGCGACGGCCAGATGCGCCACACCATCACCAAGGGCAAGGTCAACTACTGGCCCAACCGCTTCGGCATCAACCCTCCAGCCTCGGCCGCCGAGGGCGCCTTCGTCGAGCACGCCACCAAGATAGAGGGCATCAAGGCGCGGGCCAAGAGCGCAAAGTTCAAGGACCACATCTCGCAGGCCCAAATGTTCTTCAACAGCATGTCCGAGGTCGAGCGCCGCCACATGCTCGCCGCCTTCTCGTTCGAGCTGGACCACTGCGAGGAGGAGGTGTACGGGAACCTGGTCAAGCGCCTGACGGAGCTCGACCTGGGGCTGGCCCAGAGCGTCGCCGAGATGGTGGGCGCGCCCATCCCGGAAAAGGCCACGGGAGCGCAGCAGAACCGCGGCCAAAAGTCGCGCGGGCTGAGCCAGCTCGAGTTTGTTCCCTCCAGCCCCACGGTCGCCTCCCGCAAGGTGGCCATCCTCATCGCCGACGGCTACGACCCGGTCGCCTACTCGGCCGTGCGCGCCGCCCTGGCCGCCACGCAGGCCATCCCGCTCACCATCGCGCCCAGGCGGTCCCCCATCTACGCCGCCGGCGAGACTCGGGGCTCGGCCAAGGGCGTCAAGCCCGACCACCACCTCGAGGGCTTCCGCAGCACCATGGTGGACGCCGTCTTCATTCCCGGCGGCGCCGCGTCGGTCGAGACGTTGGCCCGGTCGGGGCGCGCCATGCACTACGTCCGCGAGGCGTTTGGCCACCTCAAGGCCATCGGCGCGTCGGGCGAGGCGGCCGGCCTGGTCGAGACGGCGCTGGCGCTGCCGCAGGTGGTCGTCTCGGGCGGCGAGGAGCCCGTCGAGTCGTACGGCGTCGTCACGGTTGGCAGGGTGAGGCCCGAGAGCCTCAAAGAGGTGGTGACTATCGCCAAGGGCGCCACGGGCTTCATGGAGCAGTTCTTCCACAGCATCGCCATGCACCGGAACTGGGCCCGCGAGATTGACGGGCTCAACACGCAGGTTGCGTACTAGTCTGGCTTGGAGGAGGTTTTGACTGCTGCCGATATTTGCCCTTGGGCTGTGTAGTTATAGTTGGTTCTTTATGAAAAATCACGAGGTCGAATGCTATTATTTTCAAGTGTTTATTCCGACGTGCCCTGGTGCACGCACGTGAATTACAGTGACGTCGACAAATGAGCACATACGTTTGCAAGTTGGACCTTTGGTAATAAACTTTATGCTTTAAGCGTCGTTATCTGTCGACTGCTCTACCATACTTTCCCAAGGTAGCCTTGGTTTAGACCCGTGTGTAGGCCAATGCTTATATGCCAAAACAAGCCAATATGCAATACTTGCCGGTATCAGGCAAGTAGCAGAAAACATAGGAAAGCGCACCAAAACGCCGCCCATGCAATGATGAAAGAAAGTGGTTCCGCTGTGATGTCGTCACGCCCTCCCCCTCGGGGGAAAATATGCGGCGTGTATATATATATATACGTATACTATCCTCCTACGCCTTAGTAGTTCCTGGACGGGCCAAACTTCTCGGCGTGCACCTTCTGCCAGGCCTCGTGCTCGATCTCGTCCTTGATGATGTTGTCCTGGCGGCGGCGGCGACCGCAGCGCAGGCAGCCGCTCTTCCAGAGCACGACGGTGACGCCGACGAGGACGAGTGCGGCGACTGGCACGCTGATGACGAGCGCCATCATGGTCGGGTTCTTGCTCGGGTCCAGCACCAAGCCCTGCTGCTCGGCCACCGCCGGCTCGCGGCCCGCCGGCTGCGTCGTCGTGGTGGCGGGCGCGGCCGGGGCCGAGGTGGTCTCGGCCTGGGGCGGCACGAAGGGCGTCTCCGCCTCCAGGGTCGGCAGCGGGGTCGCCGAGATGGGCGGCAGGGGCGTCGCGTCAACGGACGTGACGGATGCTGGTGCTGAGGACGCAGGAGGCGGGGCGGGCTGCGAGGATGCTGAGGAAGGTGGTGGTGGTGGTGGTGGCGGGGCGGGCACCGAAGACGGCGCTGCCGGCGAGGTGTCCCGGGCGCCGGTGCCGCTCGCCGCAGGGGCGGCAGACGTGGCCGGGCGGGTCGAGGTTGAAAGGGTGACGGGGGTGGCGATGGTGGCCATCGTGGTCGGTTCGGGAGCCCTTGTGCGTACTGGCCTTGTCGGGGAGGCAGAGCTGCTGCTTGCCGTCTCGGCAGCATCGAGGACGGGCCTCGCCAGGGGGGTGGTGCCATCGATAACCTCGGCGACGAAATCGCTCAGTCCATCGTTGAGAAGGCCGGCCATTATGATTGGTGGATGAAGTATGGATGCTGAAGAGTTCGCGGGAGGAGGTGGATGGGAGCTCAGAATGTGGTGTTGAAGAAGCTGAGGATGATGATGATGATGATGATGTATAAGAAAAACACGCCCGTTGAAATGTGATAAGAATGGAATATATATATTAAAAGGTCGTAATGTGATGCCCAGTATCCAAGTGTCTTCTCGGCCGCGATGAACCAATGCTCGCAAGGTCGGCCGTTCAAGAACACGGAAGAATCGAGTTTGCTATGCCGGACCAGCGGCTATGCTCGCAATGACAGGACGGAAAGGGTCTATAAAGAGGACAAAATGCGAATGATATGCACCGGAGAATAAAAAAGAAAACCAAGAGGGAGGGGAGGGGCAAGAAATTCCCGGTCGACGTGGTTGAGGAGGAGGTGCAGCCCTCGGTATTATCAGCTGGCGATGGACTTTTTTGCCTGCCCTGGAAAAGTCAACAACCCGCGACCCACGCAACCACGGCAGCATCGCGGACGGGCGATCGCTGCTACTCTGGGCGCTCGCGCCTTGCGTGTTTGATAGACAGGGGGTGACCAGGGGCATGAGTCTGCAACGCGGGCGTCCTGCTCTCAGCGCCGCTTGGGGCTAAGCCGCTCGGCCCATCCGTTCCGCTGTCAGCCAGTGGCTGGTCGCCTGGGGAAGCCAGCCGAGAGCTTGACTGGGGCGCGTTTCCCGCTCTCATCTGGATTATTCGTCTTTGTCGTTCGAATCGAGCCTACTGGCTGTCATTGTAACGACTTAATCTGGGAGGCGGCCAATAGGGCCCCCGTCAAGGTACCATCGCTGCCCCGTTCCCCCAGCCGTCATCCCGTCTCAAAAAGGACCCTGTGATGACACGACACTCTATCGGCAGTCTCGTCTCGGCTCTTGGAGGCGATCGAGCCCGTGTCGACGAAGAGCCGCCTAGAACTGGCACTCCCCCCACGCAAAGAGCCGACCAAGCGCGGCGTCTGAGGAGCAGAGGGGACCCTGCGACGGCGGCTGCCCTGCTGCCCGCTGCTCTGGGCGACGCAGGGATCCGTCGGGCTGTGGGACTAGGCTAGCTACTGAGACTTGGCACGTCTGATCGGCCGAGCACCCAGGCACCAGCCGAAAGAAAAAAACGAGCCCTAAAGCTTTCCCCCCCATACAAACTCTATAGCAAAAAGCATCAATCTCAATCAAAACAAACCCGATTCGCGATGCCTCAGCACCATTCTACGCCTAAAAAAGCATTAATTACCTAGAATCTTGACTGCCCATTAAATTGCATAGAAAAAGCAGTTTAAAAAAATTGTTGTGATAATTAGCTTTTTGAAGTGTGCCCCTATTTTGGTTGGGTGGCTCGTTTTTTGTTTTCGGTTGGTGCCAGGGCGGAGAGTGGGTGTGTGGGCACTTGGCAGATCCCTGGCGGAAACCGGTAGGCGCTCGCCGTCCCCAGGGGGCGGTGCTGGGCTGGCGGGTTGAAACAGCTGGAGCCCTCAGCCCGCGGCGCCAGACAGCGCGACAAACCCAGCTCCAACGTCAGCCTTTCCCCGCCCTAGACGCCCGCCTGTGGGTACACGCACAAGGCAGGAGGCTCTGTAGCTCTCAACCAGACTCTTGTGCGGCCTGGGAGGTGAAACGGGCAACACTTGGCAGGACGATTTGCGGTTCGGACAGCCAATCGCAAGCTTGGACGATCAGCCCAGTGCTGGCTTTTGCCGCGTGATTGGTTCCTGTTTCTTTGAGTTGCCCCGCTCGGCCTCCACGGCGTCCAGACTCCACCGCTTGATCGATAGCATTGCACGGCATTGGCACACTAGGGATTACGTAGTGCGTACCGAGATAGGTAGGCGCCGAGGGAGGAAGGAGGCTCGGGAGGCAACCAGACTCTTGCTTTCTCTAGACCAGAACTGCATGCTCACCAGGGGATACACACTTGCACCAAAAGGGAAAAGATCGCAGAAGGGAAACAAGGAAACAAAGGAAACAAGATACGGCAGACCTCGGCAGGACACCATGGCGCCAAACCAGGGACTCGTGCACCTCAAGGAGTACGACATCAAGGACAGCAACGTAGAGCTGATTGGGAGCGACATCGACCACCAGGTCAAGTTCAACTCGGCCGCCACGGAGCCGGCGTGGAACGACGGCCGCGTCGGCGTCGAGCCGGGCCTGTTCGTCTGGCGCATCGAGCAGTTCGAGGTGGTGCCCTGGCCGCAGGACAAGTACGGCCAGTTCTACGACGGCGACAGCTTCATTGTATTGCATTCATACCGCGTCGGCAGCAAGGACGCGCCGGCGGAACCACAGCGGCTGGGCCACGACATCTTCTTCTGGCTGGGCCGCCACACGACGCAGGACGAGGCCGGCACGGCCGCCTACAAGACGGTCGAGCTGGACGAGTTCCTCCACGGCCGCGCCACGCAGCACCGCGAGCTGCAGCAGAGCCCGTCGGACGAGTTCGTCGAGCTGTTCCCGCGCCTGCAGATCCGCGCCGGCGGTGTCCGCTCGGGCTTTCGCCATGTGGAGCGCGACGAGGACGACAAGGAGGCGGCGGCCACGCTGCTGCGCGTCTTCAAGCTCCCCGGCGGCGGGCCCGGGCGCGACTCGGTCGTCGTGCACGAGGTGGAGCCCAGCGCGGCGAGCCTCGACGACAAGGACGTCTTCATCCTCGACACAAACGTCAAGATCTGGGTGTGGCAGGGCCGCGACTGCTCGCCCATGGAGAAGGCCAAGGCCGCGCAGGTAGTGCACGACATGACGCTAGCCAAGCACGCCGAGGTCGAGGTGCTGACCCAGACCGAGTCGCGCTCGGGTCTTGTTGTCACCATGCTCGACGGCGGCGACGAGTTCGGCCCCTCGCACTCGTTCCGCTGCGCGAGGCCGGTCGAGTCGGTCGGGGCGGCCATGGCGGACCAGCAGCGGCGCCGCCCGCGCCGGCTGTACCGGCTCAGCGACACGTCGGGGAGGCTGCAGTTCACGCTCGTCAAGGACGGCGAGCCCATCTCGGCCGGCCACCTGGACGGCGACGACGTCTTCCTGCTGGACGACGAGGGCCGCGAGATCTGGGTCTGGGTCGGCCTGGGCGCCAGCCGGGCCGAGAAGGCGGCGTGGTTCAGGGTCGCGCAGCACTACGTCCGGGAGGTCCTCTGCCAGGACGGCGACAGCGACGAGGCCTTCCTGACCCCGATCGCCAAGGTAAGGCAGGGCGACGAGGGACCGGCATTCTCCCGGCTGCTGCAGGTCTAGAGGCCCGTCCTCACGGGATCCGGGGATCGCCCCGGGCTCCTCGGGCCGTGTCACGGTTTCACACTCGACTGGCAGCACATCTGCCTTGCCGGCCGTATGGGGGGCTACACGGCCTAGTCCCCCGGGCTGGCCCCGGGAGGGCTCGGAGGTAGTTTCCAGCCTTAGAACAATCTCCGCGATCCAGCTGTCCCGTCGTTTCGCACCCTTCTCGGGCCTTCCGTCGGTGTGAGAGGCATTACTCTGCCCGTCGATCCCGGCCAGATCGCCTGGTCGGTCGATCACTCATGCATACCGTACAGTCGGCGCTTCCAGCTGCTTGCCTTGTTCCTGCCTACCCCCAGGCGGGATTCTTGAAGATCCCGTCTTGGCTCTGCCGTTCTAATGTTCCAATAACGATCCTCTTATCCTTGTCTCGTCCTGGGTTTTTGTCCGTGGTGTTCCTGGTCGCGTGCCTGGAGGACGGCGGAATGGGTTTCGAGCCATTTTGCATGCGAGTCATGTCGATTCTCTCGAGGTGCGAGATTGCTCGGAATTGACTGCAATTGACAGAATACAGAATACTCAGACGCAGGCAGGCGATGCAGGTAGGAATCGAGAGCGACAACAAAAACAAGGCGCAGCCCAAATTTGTGCTGCGCTGCGGCATCGTGGTGGATCCTCACAACGCTCACATTGTGTACTGCTTACTGCATCGTCGAGGCTGTGCAGCCACAAAAAGAATCGCGGTCCCCTCGGTTTAAGTCTTTCGCCACAATCACCACCGCCCTGCCCTCTACTGTACCTAGAATGGCCGTGTGGTAGTCAAGACCTGATTTGGTCTGCCTTCAACCGGAGCTAATCCTTCCCCAGGGGGGATGCCGAGGCCAGCAGTCTTCCCCTCGCTCGTCTCTTCCCGAGCCGCGCTGCTCAGCCGAGGATGCCCACACTTTGCCATGCTCCAGCCTCGCCATGCAGGTCGACCATCAGCACCCGCGGACAGTAAGGCGCGGGATTACTAGTCTTGGCGCTGAACTGCCGCTGCCTACCTATGCTGTAGGGCCGTAGCTATCGTATATCTATCAGCTCGGTTGGCTTGTTGTGTCGAGTGTTATTGTTTACCACTTTCATCATCATCATCATCATCATCACACCACAAGCAACCACTCCCACAAACCATCCTCCAACACAACTACAATGCACGCAAAGGCCATCCTCATCGGCCTCCTCTCGGCCTCGGGGGTCATCGCCGCCGCCTCCCCAGACGCGCCGCTCCAGGCCCGCGACAGCAAGCACGTCCTGGGCAAGGACAAGACGCTCCGCATCATGGCGCTGGGCGCCTCCATCACGTACGGGCAGGGCTCGGACAAGACGGGCGGCTACCGCCAGGAGCTGGTGCGGCGGCTCAAGGACGGCAAGAACAAGGTCGAGATGGTGGGCGAGCGCGGGCAGGGCGACTTCCCCGAGAACCGCGTCGAGGGCTGGCCCGGCAAGCGCATCGACGAGATCAAGAAGGACCAGATGTCGTCGGTCGAGAAGCTCAAGCCCGCCATCGTGCTGCTCAACGTCGGCACCAACGACGCGGTGCAGAACAAGGACATCGACAAGGCCGGCGAGCGCTACGAGGACCTGGTCAGGGAGATCCTCAAGAAGTCGCCCAAGGCCGTCGTGCTCGCGTCGAACCTGGTGCACAACCGCAACAAGGACACCGAGGACCGCGTCAAGAATATCAACAAGCAGATCGAGCGCGTCGCCAACAAGCTGAGCAAGGACACCAAGCGCGTCGTCTTTGTCAACATGTTCGACCAGGGGCCCAACCCGGACAAGAAGGACGGCGAGAGCGAGTACCACGACGACACGCACCCCAACGAGCGCGGCTACAAGAAGATGGCCGAGGTGTGGGAGAAGGCCATCAAGGAAGCGGACGAGCGCAAGCTGCTCAAGCCCGGCAAGCTCCGCAAGCTCCTCAACAAGGCAGGGGAGAAGGTCAAGAAGCTGGCCGACAAGCCAAAGGAGAAGCTCAAGAAGATGTCGGAAAAGAAGAAGGACAAGCTCAGCAAGCAAAAGACAAAGATGCTCGACGAGATCCGCAAGATCATCCAGGACGAGTTCAAGAAGGTCGAGGACGCCATCAAGGACCTCAAGAAGGACATTAAGAAGAACTAGGCTCTGGGGTTGCTGGGACATTTTATTTTCTCTTTCTTTTGTTTATTTATGAAAGCATGTGCATTGCGATGGCGTTTTTGGGATTCTGGGTTTGGCCTTTTGGCCTGGTGGGAAAACATCACTTTTGGCTGTTCGTATTCGAGTACCCCCTGCTGCATCTTGGTCGGAGTTTTTGGCAGGCAAATATGATTTCCGACTTTTCACACAAAGTGCTATACGTTATGGATGTTCCAATAGTGCATCACCCATTCCTAACGTCAACCAAGCCTTATAACTGCTTGATTTATAACAAGCGAACATTTACATTTATCACAGTGTAGCATAAAAACAATCCTGAGCCACTTTATCCATAGTGTGCATACAGCCACTCATCACGGGGTATCGTGAAAACAAAAACCAGCCTCCCTTCACATATACATGCATCGCCGTACGGCGAATGCGGAAAACAGATCCAACCGGTCGGAGCAATGGTCAGATGACGACACCCTCGGCCCTCAAAACCTCGCGATCACGAATGCCGTCGTCGCCTTCGGGCTCGTCTACATTTTCGTCTCTCCAAGCGAGCTTCTCGAGCCTCGCTCGTATTTCCGGATCCTGTTCCAGCTCCTGCCAGAGCTCCAGGTCCAGATCCTCTTCATCCTCGTCCTGTTGCGTCTGGATCTGCTCGGTGGCCGATGAAGCCGGGACTGGCACGGCGGTAGGTTGGGGACTGCTCCGCCCCGAGTGCCACCTGAGGTTGAGCCAGGCGCCAAATAGCCGCTTGCGGAACTTGCGCTGCCGACTCAAAACGCCTAGCACCACGAGCTGCCGTTTGAGCGCCTTGTAGGCCATTTCGACCACGACAAGTGCCGCCAAAATTACAATGAGGGATAACCACCAGCTCAGATCGCGCCCGAAGCCTTCGGTCAAGCCGCCGCGAACCGCGTATGGCGACGGCGGGGGTGCGTAGACGGCAGAGAGGAAGGCCTGCCACACCCACCAGCCGCCGGCCGTGACAATAAATGAGACCAGTATGACCCAGTTCTTATGGTGTGTCTCGATGATGCTGCGCCATCAGGATTTTTATTGGTCAGTCGCCACGCCTTGCCTAAAGCAAAATAACATATCACGGCTTTACTCACAGAAGCTTCCAGTTGGTCCACATCATGGCGACACTGAAGGCCAGGTTTCCAACAGCGTAGAGGCCCTTGTCACCCACAACGTTGTAGATTCCAGCGCCTGCAATGCACCCGAAAAACGTCACCAGCCCCTCGAAAACGCCGCCGATCATCCAGCCTAGATACTTGGAGGTGCTAAGCCCCAAGTCGCGCTGACCGAAGAAGTAAAGCTCGGGGACGGCCAGTAGCGTCGTGGCCGAGAGGTCCTGCTCCCAAAGCGCAGGCGAAATGGTGCATAGCGATGTGAAGAGAGTGTTGAGTGCCGTCAAGCTCCACATTTCATAGAGCGATGTGCCTGTGTAGCCGACAAAATATTGAAAAGCGATTGTGCCCGTGTAAAAGTACATCTCTTTCCAAAAAGTGGCCAGAACCTTGTTCAACAACCGAGTTAGTGGAAGGTTATACCGAGGAGCGGAACAGAGCAGAGCTGGTAGTTAAAAAAAAAAAAAAAAAAACTCACAAATCGCGCAGTGCGCGCGTAGTTCCAGCGTCCATGGACAAGAAGCAACCTGGCGAGGAACCGGAACTGCGCAACACTGTAGTCGGCCACGCGAGCGGCCTGCAGTCCCTCCCGGCCCGAAATGCCAACACCAACATGCGCCTCGGCGAGCATGGCTAGGTCATTGCCGCCGTCTCCAATGGACAGCGTGAGCAGAGTGCCCCTAGGGGAGGTACTGCGGAAGAAGGATGAGAAGGAAAGGCTCTCTCCCGGCTGTATGATTCGCTGTCGCACGCCCTTGACCAGGAGCGCCTTTTGCGCAGGCGAAGCCCGACAGCAGATGACGCTCTCGACGGCGGGCACGAGAACATAAAACAGCTCTGTAAGGATGGGCGATTGCTCAATCTCGCCCAGCGTATGACCATCCACGACAAGCACGCTGTGGATATTACTGATAAGCCCGTCCCGTTTGGCGCGGTGCTGGTCACGCAGCTCGTCTGCGATCCCCAAGAGCTGAGACTCGACGTCGCCCCTAGCCGAGTCCAGAATGTGAATGTCCGAATAGGGTTTGCAGATGCGCGCAGAGTGGGCAATGTTGATAGCGGTCTCGCGCTTATCGCCCGTCAGCATCCAGATCTTGATGTTGGCACGCCTCAGCTTGTCGATTGTTTCGGGCACGCCCTTTTGCAGCTTGTCCTCGATGGCAGTCGCGCCAACCAAAGCCAGGTTTTGTTCGATCATTTCTCCCACGCTTTCGATCCTGTCCTGTCGATCCACTAGACTCGTCGTCGCCTCGAGGTAGAGCTTCTTCCATGAGGCATACTCGGCTTCCGGGATGGTCCTTTGGGCGTACAGAAGCGTGCGAAGGCCCTCGGAGGCAAACTCGTCAAGGTGCTTGAAGCAGCGCGTAAAGACCGTGTCATCGTCGCTGACGGATGCATCTTCGAGCAGCGAGAACTTCGCTGGCAGAGGCGCAAGCGGCACCGGTGAGTGCTGCGTGCTCGACTGACCCGTCGGAGATCTGTTTAGGTCGAACGATAGCGTGCGGAGCTGCAACGCGGGTCGCATGAGGTCCGCAGAACGTCGAGCCTTGTTCGCCTCGAAAGACTTGCTCCGGATGTTTGTTGTCGGTGGCATCAGCCCGGAGGACGGTCCTGCCTCGGGGTGTCGGTGAGCGACACCATGGCCATGGCGCAAGCTGAGGCTCGGCCTCCCCCCGAGGCTGCTTCTGGGCTCGAGCTGTTCGCTGTGCCGTAGAACCTCTCTCTCGAGATCAGCACTCTGGCGGGCCTCGTGTGCTTTTTGCTTGGCAAGATTCGCCAATTTGAGGCGCGGCATGATCATAGAGTCGGCACCTTTGCAGATGAGGATTAGGCGTCCGTCAGGCCCACGGACAATGATCGACATTCGTTTTCTTTTGCTGCTGAACTCGATCACGTCCAATATCTCATAGACGTGCTCAATTGGGGGTAGTCCAGGACCGGCTGTGATCTGCAGCGTGATCCGCTGCGTCGATCGTTGGATCACAAGAAAGCCAAGCTCCTGCGCGGCCCTGACGAGAGCGAGTTCATCGGGCGAAGCGGCTTGGAAGTCGATCTCCCCGTCCCTCACTTCAGGTAGGCAGGTGTGACAGAGTGCAAGAGCAAGAAGATAGTCGGCTGTGCTTTTCGCAAATGGCGAGTTAGGCCGCAGGCGCATGTACTCGAGGAGATCCTCAGTGGTCAGCTCGGGCTGCACGAGGTCTGGGCGACCAGTCGACCTCCACTGTGACGATGACCTTCTATGCGCAGTCATGGGAGTGCCAATGGGTTCACGGGCTGAGTACGCATCGTTAGGGGGAGGGCTGGGTAGCTCGGCGTCCTCTGGAATGGCGATGCTCCTTCGTGATGGCAAGACCGACTTGCCGGCATCCACCCGGCCGGGAACGACGAGCTCGACCGGAGACGTCACATTGGATCCGGGCGAGTGGGTATGGGCCTGATCCGACTCCTCAATATCCATTGTGTGCAGCCAGGAGACACCCGCTATGCTCATCTTGCGGAACTTCATGACATTTTCTGTCAGGGTGCCGGTTTTGTCCGAAAATATGTAGCCGACCTGACCAAGGTTTTCCAGAATCGTGTTCGTATTGCATTTTGCGGGCGTATCAGAGGTCTCGTCGTACATTTCAATGTCGGCGTTCAACATGAACTTCTGGAAGAGCTTGGTGATCTCGAGGGTGATAAAGAGCGAGAGGGGTATGATGTTATTAAAGTGAATGGCGTATCCAATCACAATCTCCTGGACGGCGACCCCAGCATTGTTGAGGTACCACGAGTTGTATTCCGTCGAGCGCTGCCACAGGAGATAGCCCACCGAGCAGCCGGCTGTGGCAGAGAAGACGTAGGCAACCAGCGACAGCACGATCCTGTTTGTGATTTTTTCGAGTGCCGGTTTCTTGGCCTCTGGGTGGCGGTTCGCGTTCATCCTGATCTTGGTCTCCTCGCCCGTATTGATGACCACTCCGACGGCGCTTGGCGTATTCCTCAAGGTGCTGCCGCGGTACAGGACCTCGCCCAGCGTCAGGGGTGAGGTTTTACCATCAACCGTCACCCGTCCATCGAACCGATACAGGTCGGGATTTGGGTCCTCCAGCACAAGCTCGGCGTTGCACGAGACGATGTCGGATACGGTATCGAACCTTTGTAGCTCCGCCGGGACCAATTTGCTCTTCAGATTCGTCTCGCCATCTAGAGCCATGGTTTCGATGTAGGCGTTGCGGTCCTCGCTCTCGGCCTGGATCAGGACCATATCCGCAGGAACGTCCTCATCACGGACAAGCCGCAGCACATCGCCGACCTGGACATCCCTCCAGCAGATGGTTCTCCAGTCCAGCCCGTCGGCCGCCATTTCTCTTTTCTCCTCCACTCGTGATGGCTGGCGGGAACGCCAAAGCCAGGCGAGCCACGGCCGGGAGGAAGGGTTGCCAGACACATGGCCATCGCGACGGCGGAGCACAGTTGCGCTCCTCGCATTCTCCACCTTGTCGAGCTTGTGACGTTTGTAATCGTCGTACCCCTCCTTGACGATGGTGAGAAGCACAAAGAACAGCAAGGGCAGGATGGTGGTGAAGTTCCCCGTGGTGCTGATTCCCGGGATGGTCTGGGGGATGCCGACGCAGAGGAAGTAAAAGTTGCTCAGGCGCGAGAACTGGAACCAGATCTGCTTCGGGAAGAAGTCGAAGAGGGTGTAGCGCGAGGTTCGGATGGCGTTGGAGACGTAGAGGTGGTCCCTGCGCTCGTCCATCAGACGGTCAGGGCCCTGGGGGACGCGCAAAGGAACGCGACGGCCATCTTTGGACGGATTCAGGGGCTTGCGGAAAAGACGGCCGCTCGCGGCATCACGAAGCCAGGCCCTCGCGCGGGAGCAACCGCCGTCGGCGCCGGCGCGAGTCGGTGCGGTTGCGGGCGCATCTTCGGCAGTCTGGCGGCTGCCGACGGGTCGCAGCTTTGCGCCGACCGCGACGTCGGAGCCATTGCTGGCCTGGTGCATGGCCGCGGTCTCATGCGGCCTAGTTGCGACAATCGGGGTAGTGCGAGGGCGCAGGCGACATCACTGCGCTACCTAGGGATTCAAACGGGAGGATGGCGGTGCCACGGCGAGCGATCTTCTGTCCTCCGTCGGGACAATTCCTGGCCTTCTTTTGTGCGATGCCCGATCGGGCCAGAATGACGACGGGCGACTCGGACAGCCCAATTCCACGCGACCGGAGATTGAACGAGTGGGGGTCACGATCTTGGGCCCGAGTCTGTGCTGCGCAGGCCAATCTCAGATGGCTGGGACGGACGGGATCTTGATCTGTGAGTAAACGAGTGGAAGACTGCAGAAAACTGCGTCGATGAGCCGTCGCGGCGGTTCGATGATGTCTAGAGATGACGGCGAAGGATGCCAGCCGGCACAGGTGAGAAAAAGACCCGTCTACCCACTTGCCGCAAACCAGGGGAAGCGACGGGTGGGTGGACGTTGGTCAGTCAGCACCAGAGATGTGACACCCGCCGCTAGGATGGCACGCCGCCTGCCAGGGCAGCACGAGGCAGTGCAGCGCCAATGACACCCGACACGGCAGTGGGGGAGCGATCCCTTTTCTGGTTAAAGGGGCCCACCTGCCGAGTGGCATCCACCACGGGATCAAAGCCATCAATGAGTTTAAGGACCGAGAGCACGTTGATGATGCCTTTGCTGCAGTCAACGAAGCAACTTGAAAGCGAAACTGGAGTGTTTCAGGCACATGCTGCTAGTGTGCCCGTCAAGCGGCTTGACGACATTCTTTGCAGACGAAAAGGATCAACAAGACCTGCAGCCGGTGAAATCCCAGAGCACCCTCGCCGACATGCATGGGCTACCTTGGCGAATTTCCGGAAATAAATCCGTCTAATTAAACCCCCGGCCCTTCCGTCAGCGGCACAACCAGCTTTGACGCCGAGACCCCCTCTTTCAGCATGTCCAGCCCGTCTTGGACGACATCGAGATCGGACCCTATGGCCCAGCACGAAGACGCCGTCCCGCAGCCCCCCAGCAAGAAGTCCTCGTAGATTAGCTTGCCGACCTCGTTATCCTCCAGCGACGCGCCCCACACGAACTTGGTCTTAACCCCGTAGTGACGACCTAATAGCCCGCCGCCGTTGCCAGCTTTTCCCAGTTTGGCGGCGCCCATGGTCAGCCGCTTGTTGCCCGGCGCTTGCCCTCTCCTCGCAGAGTCGAGGACGTAGGTAGGTAGCACGTACCTGTATCGCGTCGCGCTCCTGTCCCTTGCTGCGAGCGGGATGGATTCCGGGACGGGACTGGCCATTTTGGTGAGCAGGACCGTGTATAGCTGGAAGCCACACATGGGCGACTTGTTGTGCTTCTTCTCCATGCCGAGCGCGTGGCCTAGTGGCATCGGGTCCGACCTCTACGACCTGGTAAAAGAGATTATAGTTGGTTTAGATTGAAACGACAAGGAAAATGATTCAGTGCGTGGTGTAAGTCGCATACCACTCCCGCCACATCGGTGCCCGTGATGAAGGGGTACTTGATGTGGGAATACAGAAAATTTCCCACACTCTGCTTGGCGTAATCGATGCTGTAACATATGAGATGTATGGGCTTGGTTAGCGATTTCCGGGCGGTTCTTGCAATTACATATAGAAACAGGACTTTACGGGTTCAGGGCGATGGCCGCGTTCTTGACGACGACCTCTCCTGGTCCGGGAGGGGAATATGGCGCTTCGCGGACAGCCAGCGGTCGTGCCTTTGCGGCCACGAGGAAGGCTCCCCTGTTTTGTGGTGACACCATGTCTAAAGGATTTGTACAACGCTGTGGAAGGCGAGTGTACGGTGATGTTCTTGTTCGTTTCTTGTCAAAAGACCGTTGGCAGGAGGACAGCCAGCCAAGAATCCAAGTTGAATACAACTGAAATCAAACGACGAGGAAGTCCATCGTGGTTTAAATGACGACGCACGAGTCTCTTTCATTCGGGATCCGGGCGTGCTTACAGACACAAGACGTGGTGTTTGATCCTGCCGTGTGGTGGTTGCTGAGCCCGCAATCGCCAGCCCGATTAAGAAACTCGCCTCGCACTCGCATCGTGGCGTGGGCCATTTCGCGATCGCCACCGCGCCTGCATGAAGCTGCGATCTCATTTTCCGTCGCCATCTCCCTGCCTGCGGTGCTCACCAGCAGCCACATCTATCAGGAATGGGCATCACCATGTGGCCCGCAGGAATCATTCACTCCGAGCACGTAGCCGTTCCAATTGATATTACTGGAAGGTTTTGTTGGGGTATATTCTATGCTCCTAAAACATGATCGCTGAGCTCCGCAACATTAAACACATTTACAGCCAAAGATAGCAAGCCATACAACACCGAGCGCGTTGCGAAAGAAAGGCCAATACGATTAAACCCACAGTTTTCGATACCGCGCTGCATCCTCCCTCTCACGTGTACTTAGGGTAGTGAACCTTGACACCGCTATTACACAGCAGTGGCAACAGGGGCCGCGGTGGGCTGCTGCTGCTGCTGCTGCTGCTCCACCACCGCCTTGTCCACCGGCTGGGCTTGCGGAGCGTAGAACCCGCCGTAGGCGCTCGCCTGCCCTGCCTGAGGCTGCTGCGGAACGGCCTGGGCCATGTACTGCGGCTGGGCTCCCGGCACCAAGTACATGCCCGATGCCGGAGCCGCCACCATGATCATCCCGGGTGGCAGCGTGTTGCGACGGTTCGTCTCGATGCAGAAGCGGACGAACAGGGTGAAGTGAAGAATCCTGTGCGCGACAAGAACGGCCGGTATATTAGCAAACGCAAGACATTTGCTACCCCGAGTGTCATCGTTGGGGAGAATTTGCCAGCTTACAAGTTCAAGACGCTGAAGGCAAATTGTGCATTCTCCAGCGGCTCACCATCGTTCAAGAAGCGCATGAATCTGGAGCTGTAGCCGTAGTTGCCATTGCGCAAGTAGATCCGGCGCGAGACCAAGAAGCCCAATAGCGTAACAGTCGCTACAACATGTGTCAGCAAAATTCCCCCAAGCGCCAGCATTCTCACAGCTCCTTCTCGCTATGCAGTCGGGGAAGCACGTACTGGCAAAGGTCAGCCATAGGAGGAGATGGAGGGCAACATGGGCTCCCGGGTGGATGCCACGCCTATCCTTGTGCACGCCAACCGTGATAAACTCGGCTATCTGCCAACCAAGAGATACGATGGCCTGTTTTCTTGTAAGCTAACGCAATAACCGGGTGTAGCAGGTCGAAGCAGACGATGGGCACTAACAGGAATAAAGACGAGAATGAAGTAGGAGTTTCCGGAGCCGTTGTAACCTGTCCACAAGTTCATGTAGGCTGCGGAAAGGGCGATAAGGATGATGTCAAAGAGAGCAATGCAAGACCCAAGCGTGAGCTTCGCGATGTACCAGCCCTTGCCTGCGACGACTTTGTTGATGGCCACGGGCTGGAAGGCCTGCGGCCCGGCCTGGTACATGGGCTGTTGGGTATTCATGATCGCGGAGGGGTTGGCGGGTACGATATTGGTTGACAAGGTATGTTGCGAGGAAGGCAAGTGTCTTGGGCCAACTTCCGGGTCGTAGCGTTCGTCTTTAGCGCTGTTGTTTCCGAGATTATACGACACCACGCTCTGAGTTTGAGCCGCAGGGGAGAGGGCATAAACCGGTGGTCGGGAGTGTATCTGGAAGGAAATCTCCAACTAAAACAGAGCGCGAAGGGGGAAAGAAAAAGAAAACAGATGAGACAAATAATAGCAATAAGCAGGGTCGTGATGCTAGCATGATGGTGCAGGAACGTTCGTGTAATTTCTGGAAGCCAATGACACGCTGCAGCCAACGCCTCAGTCCCCACCTCTTTGTGGGATCTCCTTTCAGCGCAGCCCGAATAGGATGGCCTCGGCCGGTGTCTGCCTGATGGCGGCCCATATATCTCAGAAGGGAGGATTCGAACCCCTGTCGTGAAGTACTGGTGCGCAGCAACTTGAGTGGCACGCTGCTGACCGCACTTGTGGACGGCTGTCGGCCGCCAGGGGCGATGCCTGCCCTGCCAGGCTGCAGCTAAACCAGCCCCAGCCTGCGCCCCGGCCCTTTCCCGAGTCCCCGCCTCGCTGGGGAAGCAATTTTGGAGACGGGACCGAGAACAGGCCACCTGTGAACCGGCCGAGAATGCTTCCGCATCACAGGAGAATGATATGCCGCACAAGAATGAATAATACTCCAGGATAACTTTTTGTTAGACCAAAAAAGGTAACCCCTGCCTGTTTGTGCGTCTTTCCCCACAATTCCCTGCGTGAGGAAGAAAGCGTCAAGCGCGAGGAAAATATTTCGACTTTTATTCGCGTTGGAGCACGACCATGAGCCCCATGATGCCGAGCAAGGCCGTTTTCATCCACGGGTGTTCCGAAAGCATGATGGTAACGTAACCGACAAAGGGGAAGTATGCCACGACGCTGCCAATGATGTCTTCCCTCTCGAGGTAGTCTTGGTTCTTCGCGTAGAGCTCCGTGTCGTCGGAGGGGTTGTTGTCGCCCTTTGTGAGCAGCTTCGCCTTGGGACTGTGTGCGGGAGGTGTTGGGTCAGCAGGCTGGACAACGACGCAATGCAACTCGCCCGTATTGCAAATCGAAGATCGCCCACTTACCCAGTGCCAAATTTCCTAACGACCCTGTGGACGATGGGGATATCTTTGCCCTTGACATTGTAAACCACGATCTCGCCAACGTCGGTTTCCTGCACCAGGTTCCGGTTCCAGAGGAGGAGCAGGTCGCCGCGCTGGAAGGCGGGCTCCATCGATCCCGAGAGGACGACGACGATGGGCGAGGGGGAGTCGCTGATGACGGATAGGCCCTTCCACATCTGTCAAGGAGGTGGTTAGTCGATTGCCAGGGCGGCGCGCGAGGGCGTGGGCAGTGTGAGGCGCACCATGAATGCCGTGGACAGGACCAGGGCAAAATTGAGCAGCTGCGAGGCGGCCTGCCTCGGGTTTTGGAGGCCGGAAAGCATGGCGAAAACGTCCGAGACCTGTCTGGACGGCTGAGATGGATCGTACAAACAGACGGGCGAGCCCAGGGTGTCGACTGTGGCCCAAAATGTGTGGTTTTGCGACCAGAACGGAGGGGTGCGCGCCGTCGCGAAGCTTGGTGGCTCTGATGACAGTTTACCGAATTGGCTGAGGCGAGCTGGCCGGTACTCAGGAAGGAGACGCTGCTGATTGGCTGGGAGTGGGGTATGGCCCCCACATTGGAGGACCCTCCCGCAATCCGGACCGCTGGGATTCGATACATCTCAACTTTTAACATCACATCTTGACCACCTTCCAACTAGGACTTGAGCCAGGGAGGGGAAGAAGCGCGAAACATGCCAAAATATTGCTTTAATTAAAGATTCCAACGATACCACCCGCTACCGAGGACGATTCCTTTCGGAGCAGTACTTTTTCTCTTGCTGGTAGCACAAGTCATGAAAGCCACTGGACGATCGTCGTAAAGAACACGAGGGAAACCATCACGCGTGATATTCCTACGTGGAATCCCCCTCCCATGAAAGCTTCAACCTTATCCTAGGTAAGTCCCGGGCTAGTTCTTCATTCGCTCCACTGCACATCGAACCCCTGGAACAAGGCCGTGAGCGTGTCGTCGGCAGGCTTGGGCCTGGCTACGTAGGCCGCCACCTCGAGCTCCCAGTCGGCGATGGCGGTGTCGAACACCCAGGTGATCTCGCGCAGCGGCTTCTTGGTGCCGTCCTCGGCCACCAGGCGCACCCACAGCGTCGGCGCCTTGGGGTCGTCGCCGCCCTTCTCGACCACGACCTTGGAGAAGCCCGGCTTGCTTCCGGGCGCGCCCTCGGGCAGGAAGATGGCCTGGTCGGGCACGGGGGACAGCGACCAGTCGGACCAGTTGTCGGTGGCGACGGTGCCCAGGACCGGCGTCCCGTCGAGCATCTCGACACCGGACTTGACCCACTTGGCCGGCGGCCCGTCCTTGGAGGAGCCCGCGGGGCGCATCGACAGCACCACGCCGGCCTGGTCGTAGAGCACCTTGGGCGTGAAGGCGAAGGATACCGAGACCGACTGGAACTTGGAGAGCGGTCCCGTGGACTTGGCCCCGGCGGGGGCAAAGGTTGGCGCTGGGTCTTTTTAGCCAAGTGAATGGGTGCAAGCCACTATCCCCGTGGACAAACGACAATGGATCAGCCCCCCCCTCTCGGTTTATGCGTACCGTTGAAGTCGTTGGTAGTGGGTGGCTTGCGCCAGATATCGGTGCCACTGTTGGCCGTGACGGTAAAGCTGCTCATTATTGAAGTCTGGGACCCAGAGGTGGGTGAAGCAAGTGAAAGGGTTGATAGAGCGGCGGTAGCAACTGCAGTGAGTGGGAACCTCATTTTGCTATGTAGACTGGCGAACAGCGAACAACGGGATGATCTGGAGGGCTTGGGTTAGTGGTCTTTTATACCCGACTCCCGGCGCATACCTCTCTCTTCATATCTGATGTCCTCTGGACCCGTGCGGGGTTCAGACCTCGGGTTGACAGGCGGCAATACGTCGGCTAATACAGCCTGACTTTTCCCGCCGACAGCAAAGTCCCGGGACGCCGTGCCGTAAACCTGGTCTTGGCAGCCGGGGATGGCACCATTGCACGCTGGCGGAGTTTCCATACATGGAAGTTGCGCGCTCCTCGTGTGACAAGTCCATGCGGGGAGCCGCATCAACATCTCCACAAGGCAGGAAATTGATATGACAACAAGCCTTTTGGCTTGCCCACCGCCGCAGTATCATTCACCACTCGCTAGTCAACGGGCAGTCACGAATTGGAGCTCCAGGTTGTGAGGCGACCGAATTTCTCATTACCAGACCCTCAAAGGGCGTAAGACAAAGCGGGGTCTCTCGCTGGGAGACCTGACGAAACTCTAGAATAAAACCCCTCCTCCGCCCATGCCTGGGGCTGTTTGATCCAACAATAAGAAGGGGAAAGTTCGTGATCTCATCATCATCATGTCGAATGAATGAACCGCCAGCCCTCCGCGCTAGCTAAGCAGAAAAAATGCCAATGCAGGCCCCGAAAGAAAAGAACCCCCCGCCAGCTGTGATATCATTCTTTTTGGTGTGGCTTGAATTTGACAAAGGAAAAAGGATGATATTGCGCCGTTGAAGCGGAGATTTGTCAAGACGTCGTGGCCGCAGAAAGGACTGTAAGGATCTTGGTAGGTCAGTGGAGCCGTCAAGGCCCAGCTGGGCCGACCTGTCCGCCTCTCTGCGCCAATGATCGTCCGAGTGGAGTGTCGAAAACAAACGCCTTTCCCTTCTTTTTTTTTCTTTTGTGTTTTTCTTTTCGATGGGGGTTCTTTCTCGTCAAAGATGGGGAGACGCAGTGGGCTGCTTGTTGTCGATTGTTCAAGGGGCCGTTACCCCTGGATCGCATCCGTCAATCCCCATTCACCCTCGTGCCGCCTGGTGTTTGTGGTATAATCGAATCGACCAAGACTCCCAAAAACGCCAAGCTTTGTGAAAGACGAACAAGGTCAGGAAAGAAATCCACCCCGGGGTATACTAGGACAGGAAAACAGCAAATCAGCAGGAAACGAGGCAAAACGATGCGGGAATAACACAACAAGAGAGCAGAGGGGAGTCCAGGCTTGCTTTCCTCCCGTCGGTATACCGGGGCTGGTCGTGATCTGCCGTGTATCGGATCAACTGATTAGGCCATCCCCTCTCACCCCCTTGGAAAGATCAAATTTGGTCGGCCAACCTCCTGAAAGAAGTGAAGAAGGACAGCGAAGTCGTTCTCCCAAATGGTGTTTCCAATCTGATGAACCATGGTTGGGAGTTGCAAACGAGGTGGAGCGCGAAAACAGGATGAACGCCGAGACGGGAGTGGGAGATCGCCCGGGTAAACGACGAAAAAGAATACAACAAACGTGCGCCTGAACTCCAAATCCTCAGCTCTTGCGAGCAAATCGATCGTCGCGTGTATGCCATTCCCTTGATGAGATGAGTTTTAACGCCTTAGAACGCCCGGGAGACCTGTACGAAGCAGCCGGCCTCGGTAGAAAGCAGGGGAGCCTAGTTCACCCATTGGCATCGAGTCACCACGCCGCTAGGGCGGGCGGACAGGGACCACAGGCAAGCCAAGACTCTCGCGTCATTCTCCGAGAGGACCAAAAGTGAGATGAAAAAAAAATTGCAAGGTCCAAACCATCGTCCTTTCAGATGTTCCTCGGGGAGCGGGCATTGCCCGCGTCGATGACATCATCCAGGTGGTTGCACAGGGCGACGAACAGGTCAAAGTACAGCTTGGAGCCCTCTCCACCGCGCTCCATCTCGGCCTGCATGGTGCCGCTCCGTTTGAAGGTCTTTCTGCACCGAATGATCAGTGCAAGGTAGTGAGCGCGCAGGCGGCTGTCCGAGTCGGGCGTGTGCGCGTAGCAGTACTGGGCGGAGCGCAGGATGGTTCCCACGTCGATGCCGGACTGGAGCCCCTGCTTGCGCAGGGCCAGTCGCTTGAGCTCCTCGAGCCCGTACCGCTCGGCGGCGCAGTAGATGACGGTGTCGCGCAGCAGGTGCTGGTCGACAGCCGAGATGTAGACGGTCGCCTCGACCGCGGAGGGCACGTACGGCGAGCTGCTGGTGCTGCCGGCGCGGCCGCCTCCGGTTTCGTTGGGGTTGGGGGATGAGTACGGGGTGTGGCGCTGGCGCGGGTCGGAGTCCTCTAGTTCCCAAGAGTTTCGGTGCTTGTTGTGAAGCAAGCGCGGGTAGTAGTCGCCCTTGTAGAGGTACTCGAGCACGCCTGAAAACACCTCAGGCTCCTCCTCGGGCAGGGTAATCCTCTTGCTCTGCGCCTCGAGGTATTGTTCCTGGCAGAGCGCCTTGAAGAAGGGGCTCTGGCACAGCACGTCCTCGTGCGCCGCAAACAGCCGCCCCTCCCGCCCGATCGCCAGCGTGACGATGGGCGAGGGCGCCAAGGACTTGGGGCTTGGTGCCGGCTTCCCCTGCGACGAAGACTTGTTCGCCGGCGCGGAGGCCTCCTCGGCGCTCGAGAGCGACCGCTGCAGTTTCGACAGCTTCTGTGGATCCCGTCCGGAGCCCGCATTGCCGCCGGCGCCTTTCCTCGTCAACCTCGACGACTTGTCCACGCGGTGGTGCGCGTCCATGCCGCCGCTCCCGCCCTGGGAGTGCTCCTTGTTGCTGGAACGGAAGGAGCGCTTGAACATCTTGAAGGCTGCACGGATGTCCAGGGGGGCGGGCAGTTTCGGTATCGGGTAGGGTATCGGCGTCGGGGGGTAGTTGGCAATCAGGTTCTTGCGGCGGACGGGATTAGGAAGCCGAATAACAAACGAAAGGAAAGGGGGAGGTGAGAATGGCCCCCGTTTGCAGATCGACTTATTCGGGTTCGGTGTGGGGATTCGACCAAGAGAGCGACGGAACGAGCTAAAAAAGATATCAAGGAAGGGAAAGCCAAAGAGGCGAAAAAGAATGTGGGAGGAGGGAGATGCACAACAGAATGACAGGGGCCCGGGTAGAATATCTTTCAGAGGGGATTGACTGAGGGAGCGGCTGAAGAGATATCCTATGAGTTTTGCGACCCGTTGGTGTTGTGTAAGGGGGAGGGAGACAGAAAAAGGAGGGGGCGCCTCTGGAGATGGTGACGGGGGCCTGGCGCATATTTATATTGCAGGCGCGGGGAAGAAGGCTGGGCGGATGCCTGCGCACCACAAGCTGCGATGCGCACGCACGCACGGAGTCTGGTGCGCGCACGCACGCCCACACGGCACGCCGCTGTCCACTGGCACAGCGAGGACAGGTGGGACGGAACGCCTGGTTGGCTGGACTGGCGGCTCTACGGCGCACCCTTGGGCCCTTGGGGTTGGTGGTGTGGGAGGTGTGGGTGGCACCGCGAGCAGCAAGGTGGGGTGGCCGCTTGGGCGCTGGAAGGACGATGGCCCAAATGCAAGGCTCTGGTTGGGCGGCGGGGCAGGGGCAACACGCATGTCGTCACCTAGCATGGCTGCACTGGCAGGGCCCTGGATGTGGTGCTTTTCCGTTGCCGCCCGCGGTCAACGTAGCGCATTCGTAGCGCTACCACAGCCGGAGCTGGAGAGTGCACACGTCGGTGCCTGACCTTCTCTTCTTGGTCGCAATGCGTGGCCGCCTCGTCACTTGACGGGGCCACGACATTGCCGGAGCTGAGGCGACAGAGGCTTGTCCAAGGCCTCGAAAATGTAGGTACGTATCCTACCAGGTACCAAGGTATCTCACAAAGAGGCAGCCAGCCACGTGGCTAGCATCAATGGGAAAAAGCCTGGGCCGGTGTGAAGGAAAAGACCACGGAGTCAACGGGGTTTGGCGCCACAGTAGCTCGTCCAAAGAAACGGCGCGGCCACCCGCAGTGTCGAGGGAATGCGACCGAAGACGCGAAGCTTGGAGAGAGCGAATTGGCGCATATGTCCGAGCTGGCCCAGTTTCGCGACCCAATCGCAGACAAGATACTGGTCGCCTCGTCTGACCAAACAGCATTTTCCCCACGCTTTCCGCTCACACTGGGGCGTGAAGATGGTGCAGCAGCATTCGGCAGAGCACAGCCCCTCTCCGATTGCGCTTGTCCAGTCGATGTCGGGATTTAGCCGGTGCTGCAGATTAGACAGCCTAGACCTTGGTGACAATGTGTGAATTGATACAGTGCCGATTAGAGGGGCATCAGTTGCGGTGCAGCAGTCGAGTCACAGCAGTTTTTGTTCTGAGTGCACGGCTGGTTGCCGAGATGGAGTCCAGAAAAAAGAAAGAAAAAAAAGAAGTCACCCGCATGTGAAGAACGAGCTGAGGTCTAGCCGGGGTGGCTGCCCTGATTGTCGCCTGCACGCCCTGAATCATGGCCGTTCGTTCCAAATGGCTGGAAATGGGCCTACTTTTAACAATGGAGCCCATGTCCGCCAGCTTCAATTATCCCGCCATCGTCATCTTTTGATTCTCATCAGTCACAATACGGGAGCGATAAATATTTCGACTTCTACCGTCGCCTAGAGCGATCCTTTGCAGGCTTAGATATGCGTCAAAAAGTGAGCGATGGAAACAAAAATAACTCTTTTTGCGGGAGGCAACGCCTAGCATGGAGCCTAGCATGGTTCTAAGAGTGGTGGCTATTCCGCCTGAGTGATTCAAATCCACAAACGTCCACAGGCGGGCTCGAACCATCGAACCGTAGCCCGATCTAAGGCAGGAGAAGAAGGCAGCTGCCCCACGTGACTCCTCCCGCCAGCCCGTACCCCTCGGCCAACGCGCAACCCCACCTGGAAATTTTGGCGGCCTTCCTCCACAACCACAAGTATCGTTCCCTACGTGGAATCGACCACGGCGGAATCACGACCCGACAAAAATCACGGCTTCACGTCTCCAGCTTCTACAACGGCCTGCCGCGACAGTCGATTAAACGCATTGCCACGACTTGCATACGCCTCCGGTCTTCGGATCCGCACTACTACACACAAGCAGTCACCCTATTGGTCACCCGTCGCCAAACCGAACCCCGTCATTCGTCGCCGCCGCCTGCATTGCTTCTCACTCCAGCCAGCCCCTTTTGCCTGCTGATGCAGGAGCGGCGTGCTTCCGCATCATGCCCCCCAGCCTGAGCGTGCCCCGGAGGGCCAGCGGCCTGGGGCGACCGAAGCCCGCCGCCCGCCCGAATCCCGTCAAGGCGCTGCAAGATCAAGCATGGAGAAACCAGCAAGCGAACCGGGGCACGGCCGCCTCTATGTCGCCGCCGCCTCAGCCGCGCCCACAGCCGGCCAGGAAATCACAATGCCCAAACAAGAACTGCCCGAACCCCAATATCGTCGACGGAACCTGCCGGACCTGTGGTCGAGTCGCCGATGACACCAATATTGTTGCCGAGATCCAGTTTGGAGAGACCTCGCAGGGTGCCGCCATGGTTCAGGGTAGCTATATCGGCCCCGATCAGGGCGGCGTCCGTCTCTCGGGTGGCCAGGGCGGACGACGCATCGCCGGTACGAGCACATCCACAGAGGCCAAGGAGAAGGCTCTTCGTGAGGCCAAGAGCCTAATCACCGGCTTTGCCCGTCAGCTCAACCTGCCAGACCGCACCATAAACAGCGCTGTCCAGCTGTACAAGCTGGCCAGCTCCAGGAACTTCACCCAGGGCCGCTCCATGCAGTACGTCGCCGCCATGTGCCTGTACGCTGCGTGCCGCAAGGAGGCGACCTGCAAGATCATGCTCATGGATCTGGCCGACCTCGTCCAGCACGATGTGTTCCACCTCGGCCGCATGTACAAGGCCTTCATCCGCGACATTGGCGCCGGCGGCAACTACAACCCCATCTTCGTCGAGGACCTGATCTATCGGTTCGCTGCCCGTCTCGAGTTCGGCGACAAGACCAACAAGGTGGCCAACACGGCTGTGCGTCTGGTCCAGCGCATGGACAGGGACTGGATGGTCATGGGCCGTCGGCCATCGGGCATCTGCGGCGCATGTCTAATCATGGCGGCCAGGATGAACAACTTTCGACGCACGGTCCGGGAGGTGGTTTTCATCGCCAAGGTCACCATGCACACCCTACAACAGCGACTGGATGAGTTCGCCGAGGTCCCGTCGGCCAAGCTGACAGTGGAAGACTTCCTCGTGCGCGACTTTCTGTACGATCAGATGGATCCTCCAGCATACTACAAAAAGACGGCAGAGTACCAAGCGAAGCTGAAGGAGAAGCGCAGCAAGCGAAAGCGTGAGCTGGGGGACGACGGTGAAGGGGAGCGGCGGGTGGACGCCGATGGATTTGCCATACCGCCGACCCCAAGCAATACCGAACCTGCCGCTTCCGGTTCGAGGACAGAACCAGGTGACCTTGAGCAAGGAATATCTGACATAAACTCCCACCTCGACGACCTGGCGCAGCAATTCGGAGCGGACGGCAGCGCAATTCCCGGCACAGAAACCCCTGCGGCAAAGGGTAGCACGCCTGCCGCCAGTGCCAGTTCGCAAGCCCCCAAAGGCCCGAAAAAGTACCCTTTTGGGAGCAGCGTCAGAAAACAGGCCAAGGTCGAAAAGCCTGACTATGTCACAGAGGAGTGGGCTGAAGATGAGGAGATACTCGAGATGGAGATTACAGAGAACATGATGAACCCAGCGACTGTCGAGGGCGCACTCCGCCTTGCCAACGCCAGCGAGCTCGTGTCCCTCAAGTTCTTCGAGTCATCGGATCCAGAGCAGCAATCAAAATTGGACGCACGAGAGGTCGAGGAGGACGAGTTCGCCGACGACCCCGAGGTCATGTACTGCCTGCTCAGCAAGGAGGAGGCTGAGCTCAAGACACAGCTGTGGGTCAACCAGAACAAGGACTGGATGCGCAAGCAGCAGGAGAAAGAGTTCAAGGCCAAACTGGCGGCCAACAAGCCCAAGGGGCGGAGCCGATCCAAGAAACCGCGCATCGGCGAGGGCCAGACGTCCCCGGCGGACTCGGCAACGGACGCGACGCTGGAAATGATCGACCGCCGGCAGTTCTCCAAGCGTATCGACTACGATGCGGTGCGGAGCATGCTCAGCACCGGGGGGCCTGGCTCTGCGGGCGCTAGCGTCGCCACCAGTTGCCAGACAAGTCGCTCCGGGAGTGTCGCCGCAACTCCCGCCGAAGAGGCCGAAGATGAAGAGGAGGAGGAGGAGGAGGGCGACGAAGACGTGGATGAAGAGGAGCCTTCCGGGCTTGCAGACATCGATGAAGACGAGGACGAAGGCGAAGACGACGAGGAGGAGGAGGCACCGGACTACGATGATGAGTGAAAGGTCATCGACTAGTAGTCATCGGAGTCAACGCAAAGGCTATTGCTGAATTACAGCAGCAAGCCGGCGAATGGGGATGCGCGCGCACGGGGAGGGACTGCTTCTTCATATTGATACCCAGCGTCTGCAAAGGAATCTTTGCTCACGGTTAGCATTTCATGTATATCTTTTTCGGTTTGTTTCTCCTTGGTTCTTTCTACTTTTTTTTTGTTTTTAATGCTCCCTTGGTGGCTGCTTCGATTCGACGAGATGTAGAAGATTTACATATAATCCAACTGAAAGAACGCCCAACGATGGACACAGCTGTTGGCACCTCACATGATCCCCTACTCAATACCCACCCAGCAGTCCGACCGACAGCTCGATACATCAAAGATCCGCTTTAAACTCAAGAACAGAGTACGGCAAGATGAAAGATGCACCAGCGTACAGTATCAAAAAGAGCATCGAGGAGAGCCAAGGTTTGGAGAACAGATTATAACCTCGATAGGCATCTACCTACCTCTACCTGATTATTAATATGCATTAAACGGAAAGATCAAATGTGAATGTCGCAAATCCTCACGATCCAGTTCCAGTACGATGTCGTCACAAAAAAAACCCCCCGTCAACATGAAGGTGTCCAGCGCCCACCACCTTTTCTCCCCACACTATCGCGACTGGCTCGAGCGCGCGTCCAGCAGTATGGTCACGCCGTCGACGTTCTCGACGTACACGGGCTTGTACGGGCCGTTGTACTGCGCGTACGAGACGATGGACTCGCGCGCCAGGTCCCGGTACAGGTCGGCCATGTCGTCGTGCGCCTTTGGCGGCCGCAGCATCGCCCGCCGCCCCCGCGCCCCGTCGTCGTCGCCGCCGTCCCGCTCCCGCAGGCCCCGCCGGACGAGCATGAAGGCCACGACGGCGAGGGGCAGCCCCAAACCCAGCCCCAGCCCCAACCCGAGGCCGATTTTGGCCCCCTGGTCCAGCACGGGAGGGGCCGCCGCCTGGGGCGGGGACGGTGGCGGTGTGGTGGTTCGGACCGAGGGGTCGGGCGATGTGGCGGCGGTGGAAGGCAGCAGTAGCAGCGGCGGCGGCGATGTCGTCCCAGAGCCGGCCGCCGTCGCGGTGGCGAACGACTGGCTGAGCGCGTTGCCGACGGTGGCCGAGGGCAGGCGGAACAGGGCCGTGGACGTGCTGCAGCAGCGCGACCGCTCGGCGGCCGACTCGCAGCAGTAGCTCGAGTCGGCGGCGAAGCCCGGCCTGCCGCAGCCCCAGACGTTGACGCCGCTGGCCCGGAAGTCGTAGGTCGAGTCCGCGCTGATGGTGTCCTGGTCTGCGTGGTGGGGGCGGGTTCGTGTTAGTACGTTTTCTTTGCCCGGGGCCGTTTGCTGCTCTTGCTCCTTCACACCAATATCAGGTGTGTGGTAGGGGACGCAAAACATACTCAGGATACATCGCTGCGGACATACGGGGTTGGTCCACGACCGATCTGTGCAGGTGCCACGGATATCTAGTAACGGCAAGACACACAAGATAAAAAACAACGTCAGTCTGCGCCACCTAAAGCTATACTCCCAGGTACACGAGCAAAGGGGAGGAAACCATACAGCTGGTTCCCGCGTCGGGCCCGGTCCCAAAGGCAGCGCACAGCCCGTTGGAGAGACAGGCGCGCGGCGACTGGCAGCACATGCTGGCCGGGGCCGAGGCGTTGCAGGGCACGTCGGTGCTCTGCTGGCCGTTGGGGTAGTAGCAGAGCAGCTGCGCCTCGGCCAGGACGAGCAGGAGCGAGAGGGCGGCGAGGGCGCGGCGGAGCACCGGGCAGCAGCCGCCCGGGACGGCGGCGAGGCGGACGAGGAGGGGCATCGCCAGGCTGCTCCGACTACCTCAAGGGCATGGTTATGGTTCAGCTCGCTGTTTCCTTTTTTTTTCTCTTTCTCTCTCCTTCTCTATGTCCCGTCTTCCGGGAGGCGGGGAGATTTGGGGCGGGTGTGCGAAGCCACAAAGCCTAGGCGCCATGCACGCAGTCCATAATACGAGAACTCCCCCGGACTCGGGTTCTTGCATTAGTGTCAAGCTTTCGATGGGGTCCGTTGGTCCCCCTTTCAGGAAATCTGACTGCGCGCTATCTCGTGCCAATCTCGCCAACGTCGAGCCGAGCGCTAGCGCCGCGGACGAACCACGCGCTGGACACTGCGTCTTGGCGACCTGGCCAACGCGGTCAATGGTCCCGGGAGGGAGCCATTTGCCATTTCATTCTGCCAGGTTCTTCGGAGGCAGAGAGACCCCTCTCCCAGCAACACAATCTCCATGTGCTTGTGCGGAGTGGGTTTCCCCAGCGCGCCGATCTCGACCACGCCGGCGGGATCCTCCGTGGGCGAGACCGGGGTAGCCCCGATGGACGACGGCGAGACGGATGCCGTTCTGTGGAACCGTGGTAGCCGCTGGTAGACGGCAGACCTCCCCGAGTAAACGGCTCTTTTGGCCGGAAGACGCCGTGATGGGGTCGTGGGTGAAAGCCCATGTTCACACGCGCGTTCCGGCTTTATAACAACGAGCAAAGAGCGTGGCGGGAGCGAGCCCAACAAAATCATGCAATTATACAGAAGGCACTAGATGGTCAAACACCATGGACTGTCCATGTTGCACCGAGGCAGGTCGAGTGCGGGCATGATCGGCCAAGAAAGAATATGATACAGGGAGACAGGACTGTATCTGGAGACGTTTTCACTTCTCACAGCACTGATTACCTGCGTCCGCCAGGTACTAGCCTGAGAACCCAGATGTCAAGCCCAAGCTCGAGAACCAGTGGGTTGTTCCGTTTGCGTATCGAGTAAGGTGCCTGCCTACCCGAATACCCCGACTAGCCAACCCGCAGCGTTCCGCGCCGAACTACTGCCGTGCACCAGCGTCTGTTCAACGCAACAAAGGCTCTGGCCGGAAAAAAGAAAGATAGTTGAGTCCGAGCGCACAGTCGTAGACAAATACAAGAATCATGGATAGATAGAGTACAAATACATGGACTTGTGTATGAAATAAGATAAGAGTTACCGACATGAATTTGATATCTTTTTTTTTCGTTGTTTTTATGTGTATTCCGCTTCTCCGCGTATTCCAAAACGGGGCGGGAGCTTCCATGCCAGTTATAATGCGAGGCTAGTACAAAGAGAAAGGCAATGCCAATGAGCAAGCCACAAGTGGTAGAGGGGATTTCAACACCGACAAACCCAGCAAGAAATGATGCCTTCCGACTCCAAGATGAGATGCATAGCATGCGGTACGCTGAGAAGTGCCCCCATCGAGATCGCGCCCATGTGCCAGTGGCAGGGGCTGCGTCCGCTTGGGGGTTAATGGCTAGAAAGAAAAAAAGGAAGAAACAAAAAAGGAAGAAAAAAAAAGGAAGAAAAAAAAAGGAAGAAAAAAAGCAAAGACTAGTATCGACACATGGACGGCCCCATCTCTTAGGCGGCGACCGTTTGAAAAAGTACAAGGCAAATGCGGAGCCCAACCTCGATGCAAACTCTATATCACGAAACAAAGATCTCCTCTCCCGTTCCCGGGGCCTGTCCTCCCAGGCTCGTAGACTTTTTCGGCTTCTCTTTTGATTTTCCATCCTCCCAGCCTCGCTCGCTGATCTAAACCTGAACAATGCGGAAAGGGGAATGAGTAGTGGGTGACGCGGAAGGAAACATGTTGGGTGTGGGAATCGTGTGACAAAGGAGATGTTTAATCGACGCTGTGTGTCGTGTTGGCTGTTGGTGTCGTCTTGGTGGAATGCGGAGGGCTCTCCGTCTGCGGGCGCATTCCAGCGCGTCCGCTCATTCCCTCGACCGACCTGCGAGCGCAGGATGGTTTTTTTCTTCTCTTTTTTGTTGTTCGTCTTCACTCTCGTGCCGACATCTCAGTCTCGGTCCCTGTTCCTGCGCCCGAACAAGGTCCCCTTCCGGCGCACCTCGGCAGGCCCTTCTGCATCGGTCGCGTGCCCGGCATTGGCAGCGGCGAGCTCGGCCCCTTTGATGGCCTCCCTGCGCTCGCTCCTGCGCTCCTCGATGGCCTCCTGGCTCAGGTGCCCAAAACCGTTGCGTCGCTTGAATGTCGCCTCCATGACGGAGTTGCAGTCGACAAGCCTGCGCGGTAGAGCCTGCACGACGCCAAACATCTCCATTGGGTCCTGCACCGCCCGGATCTCGGCCTCGCCCATCTTGAATATGGCCAACGCCACGCGGAAGAGGGTTCGGCTTCCCTCATAGAAGAAGACGTCCCATACCCGCAGCGTCGTCTCGATGGGGAGCGTCCCGATGAAGCATGACATGAACCAAGCCGTCATGCACATGGTGATGGGCGGGAGTCGCTCTGCGCCCTGGGCCGCCCGTGCTGCTGCCCTAGCGCGCCGTGACCTCTTTGGTTTGCCCCCGGCTCCTTGTGTTGCTGGCCGAGCCTCGACCGTGTCGAGCTCACTCCCGACCTTGTTCCAGACGTTGGGCATCGAGTCCTTGACAGCGCCCATGAGTACCCCGAGGTCGACCTTGGAGCCCTCGAGTGACAGCTCGTGCGTGCCCGGTAGATGAACGCGCGTAATGACGTTGAGCAGCCAAAACGCCTGCTCCTCGGTCTCAACAAACAGGAGCAACAAGCCGGCGAGGAAGTTTAGACTCTGGCAATAGCCTATCTGCGGGTTGTAGATGGCGAAGGCGTTCAGGACTCGCCTCAGGCGGGATATTATCCTCGGCTCCTCGGCGCCATCCTTGGCTATGTTGTTGTTGCCACTGCCCTCTGGCTCGCTGCTGGAGAAACGGAACTTGGCGTTGTCGGGGAAGGTACGATGCAGATCGCGCTCGATGGCCTCGACATCAACCTCCTTGGCCTCGCCTGGTCGCTTCGAGCGCGCGATGAGCTCGTCATATACGCCAGGGTGCTTGGCGAGGATGCTCGGTCCGCGGGCATAGTAAAACCACGCGGCTCCGCGCCACTCGGGTGGGATGCCCTTGCGGATGAAGCGCTTGGTCTTGGCCGACGGCGCCGGGAACCGATCCGGCTCCTCCGTCATCAGGCCCGAGTCCCTAAGGTACGCCACCCACTTCTTTTTCCGGCGAGCGAGGTACTCCGTGTGCGTCGAATCCCAGGCGTCGTACTGCTCGCGGGACACGTACTGGTTGCTCTTGCGGAAGCCATATCTGTCCCTCGAATCTGGCTCGTCTTCGGTCGGGGCCGAGTACAGCTGCTGGGCTTGGCTCTGGGTCGGAACTGGTGGCGCCGGCTGGGTATCGAAGGTGGTCTGGGTGAGGTCGGGGCTCGACATGGCGAGCCTGGGCGCTAGCGATGCGGACCGTGCCGACGACGCGGCCGAAGCCTGGCGTGAGTGGCCCATCCTTGGACGCACAGTGTCGTCGGACTCGAGGAGCTTGGCCGAATCGTGCTTGCTCCTCACACTATCATCGACCTCCTCGTGGCTCGACCGTCCGCGAGATGCGATCGAAGGGCGAGGCTTGTGTTCGGGACGCCCATCTTCGGGGAGCGATGAAGGCAATGCCGAACCGGAGAAGAATGACATCGAGTCTCGCACGGTTATGGATGGTGGTGGGTCGGACGCGCCCCGGGGTTTAGTGGGCATCGGTAATGAGTCGCTCATTGCCTCGCGAATCCTGTGGCCCACATGTGATTGCGACCTATCGAGATTTGCTCGCGACGAGGATCTGGACCGGGTGGAAAATTTGGAGCTGGAAACCTTGCGGGTGTGGCCGCGCGTGGCAGGGGTGGCTTCCAAATCGTTGTCCTCGGCGCCCGTCGAATCCGCAAACCCCTTCTCGTATAGGCCCATGACGTCCTCGACGCTCATGCCACCCTCGTCCGCCGAGTGCCCGGCCATGAAGTTATACACCGAAGATGACGTTCTTGAGCTCGTCTTGGTTGCCAGACTGCTCCGCTGAGTGTTGGGTCCCGAAAAGACGGTCCCGGGCGCGGTGGAGGAAGTCAGCTGTGATCGGTAGCTGGATCGTGGCTCGTGCTCGGCCACCCAAGGTGCAGCGTCCCGGGGGTTCGCAGGTATGTCCGGGCCGTGACCGTCCAAGCGGGTGTGGGCTAGCTGCGGCTTGGGGAGGCCGGGCGAGATCATGCCGCCGCCGGCGGACGGTGCGGCAGCATTGGTCGCTATGGTTCGGGGGACGGTTCGGGATGGGTTGCTGAGGGTATCGATCGAAGGCCGGGTCGGGAGGGAGGATATGGTGCCATTCGACTTATTCGAAGACACCGACGGCCCCCGAGTCCTTGGCCAGTTGGAGAGTTGGCGGTTTAGGATCGGGCTGTCGTCGCCGTACTGGGCTGGCCTGGCGGCGGTGGGCGGCACTGGAGGGCCAACGTTGGGCCTCGCGATGCTCGGCTTGCGAGGCCGCGAGAAGTTCTCAACCATGACGGGGGCCTGATCGTCGCCCGTGCGGCGGCTCGAGGACCGAGCGAGGGCGCCTTTAGACGAGGTTCGTGCCGGAGGATGATTACCGGCCAAAGACGTTGCGTGGAACTTGTTCGGGGGTGGTACGAGAGATACTATCCTGTCCTGCTCTTCGTCCAGCAGAGAGGAACGGCGACCGTGGGAGGGCGTGTAGGATCGGGACGAGGACGCGGGCGAGATGGGCGATATTGGGAGTGCGGCGGAAAGGACCTGAGCGAGAGCCTGGGTGGTCGAGGCCGCGGGCGAAGACGGGTTGCTGTTCGTCTTGACGGGGCTGGGCAGTTGGTGGAAGGTCTGATGGCGACTCGTGTGCATGAACTGGGATGGCGGCTGGGCGTGGGAGGTGGTTTTGTTGATTCTGCCCGTCAGCGAGTCCCAGCGGGGCGAGCTGGGCGTCAGCGGCAGAGGAGGCAACTGAGGCGGGAAATCAGGCGGTTTGGCGAGGGCATGCTTGTCGTCGTCGTCGCGGGTGCGGTGGTACGGGTTATGGCGTCCGCCTCCTGGGGAATGGGGCTGCCCCGGCACATCTGAGGCGGCAGCATGTTTCGTCGTGGGTCGCTGTCGCAGGCGGTTGGCGGGCAGGCTGGCAGAGTCGCGGGCCCTCGAGCTGGTTCGAGGCGGCCGCCTGTGCTGCGGGTTGGTGCCCTCGCCGTCGGCCGCATACGGATCGTCAGGCTCTGAAAATGCCGCCGCCATGCTGCCCGTGGCCCGTCGACTGCTGAGCGCAGGCGCGAGTTACTACAATGGGCGCAGCAGGTCGTGATTATGTGGTTGCCATATCTGCATGGCTGGGGGGCGGGTGCTTGGTGGGTCGGCCGGTCGTGACTGCACGTTTTTTTTTTCTTCTTTTCTTTTTCTTCCCTTTTTTTCTTCTTCTTCTCGATTACTTCCTGTCGCCCGTCCGGACTCAATTGCGTTGCCCGTCAGCTCCCCGCCTGCCTGCGTCCTGCTTAATTTGCACCAATGTCCAGCTGTTTGTTCCTTGTCGCCTCTCTGGTGCACGGGCAAAACCTCCTCTTCCATGGCTTCCCTCGCCTGCTCCAGCCAATCCCTCACCCCTGGCCCGCCTGTAAATTTGTGTTCACTGCACTCCGTCGGGCCGCTGCCTGGTGCGAGCTACCTCAGTCTTCACCAATTGTTTCTTTTTCTCTTTCTGGTCTGGTCGGCTCAGGGGTTTGCAAAGACAAGCCGGGTTGCCCCCTGCTCGCCATCTTAGCCCCATGCATCTGACCAGCTAATCGACCAACTGGGCCAGATCGTCGTCGCGAAGAGCGAAAAGCCAGTGGTGCCGGCTCCCTCCCGCACGGCGGCGGGGGCTAGGCTAGTTTGACATATGCTGGACAGAAGCCACAAGAGCCACAACTACGACTATCATGCACGCGGAGCGGTGCACACGGCGCGTGATTCTGCTAGTAGACTAGTGTTGACTGCCTACCAGCTGTCTAGATACCGCTGGGGTGGTCGGGACTTTGAGCCAGCAGAAGACAAACAAGCCCTCTCTAACCGGAGATGCCGTCGACGAAAGCCAATCGGTGCTGCCAACACCAGACCCGTGTGGTCATGAATCGAGTCGCGCGGGGAACCGCTGCCCAGATTAGCCCACCTTGTTAACGTCCGCTCGCGCGCGACTCGAGCATATGCCCCAGAGAAAACACTCCGCATGCACGATTCAAGGGGGAGATGGGTTCGAAGCGGCCTCAGCGCTGCGGTGCAGTGAGCCTCTGCGCCATCCCGGGCTGCAGGTGCAGTAATCGGGGCGGAGCATCAAGTATTTGAGGGCGGGCTGAGCGAGATGCGCCCTGGCTGACCTCTCTGGGCAATCCCAACCTGGCGGTGGACGATGGACGGTGAGAGCCAACAAAAATAGACCAGTCACACACGCGTTCCCACGCTTCCGGTACAGGACGGCACTTGGAGGCCGGGAAGGACGCGAGTCCAGCGAGCCTACATTGGAAATGGGTCAGGCCTGGTCTCGGTGAACTTGACTCCCACCTGACGAGGCGAATGCCCCGCCTTGCACGCTGGGACCTCCCTGCCAGACCCGGGAGGAGGGTTGCAAGCCAAAAATACGGCTCTAGTCCCAAAAACACAGAAAAAAGGGGGTTAGCTAGTCGAGTGCTGTAGGCTGCTGCCCGAGGGTGCCGGCACAACAGCAGGGCCGCTAGCGATGCCAGGTTCAGGCTGTTATGTTTCACAAGTTGCATATCACCCTCAGCCGAGGCGGCCTCTGCTCCGGGAGCCACTAAACATGGCACTGGCTTTGACAGGACAGTCGTGGCGCGCCGTTGGCCATGGAGGGGGCGAGGCCGAGAGCAAGCGTGATAAGCTGCAGGTTGAGCCGTGCTGTCATTGTGCAAGAGCGCACGCGCTTTGGCCCAGCCGCCCAGCCGCCCAGTCTTTGGTGCTCTGTCTGGGACCCCTCTGTCTGTTGCAAAGGTCATCCCGTTTTCCGTCATAGACGACTCTTGCACGGCATCCTGGCCCTTACTCGGGCCGTGTCGCTTGTGGACGGCACAGTTGACCATCGCGCTCTTAGTTCCAGCGCCCCGTCTTCATTTCCTCGACCCATTGTGCTGGATCCGGGCCCTCGCCCCGTCCAGGGAACAATTCTTTTTTAGCGGAGAAGCAAAGCCTGCGCCGCTGGGAGTCGCTGGGAGGACTGATCGGCCAGGCCTGGAGCTCCGGGAGGGCTTTCCGACCCATGCACTCTGCCAGGCTCGCTTCTTCGAGAGTGGCCTAGCGCGGAAATTCTTGCTCATTCCGTCTGATTTCCCAAGATCCCCTCGTCTAGGGCAGGGCAGGCCGTGGCCTGGGCTGGCGCCGGTGCTCCCGCTGGCAGCCTCGGAACAACGCGAGCAGTCGGAACGAATTCAAATACTTGCGCGTCTGGGGTGTCTTGTCCTTCTTCTTCTTCTCCGTCTTCCTGTCCTGTCCCGCACCACTTGCCGCTTCTCTGCCGGCTCCTTCATCCAGACGCGAGCCTCCATGTCACTACCTCAGACGCCCCTCGTCTACACTCACGGTCTTCATTGTTCATCCCACTCTATTCGACTCCGCCATGGCTTCCTTGGTCTGCCTCGGGAATCAGCACCGGGCCCAGCGACGAGAGCTAGGCATCTTTGAAACATCTCCCCTTCCTTCAGCAGCTTTGCAATTGTGGTACGACATTGAGCTGGCTTTTTTTCCCCCTCAGAACCGGACAAGCAACCTCATTGAACCCAACATTGTCGACCGTCCTGGCAACATCAAGGCCACCGGCCGCAAAGCACCGGACAGAAGAGGGTTCCGACTTGGAGCGCCTGTGAATCACTCGCTCTCAATGTCACCCAACTGCCCCAGAGCCTGGCGGCCAAACAGCTGTGCAAAAACCCCAGCGGGTGGCACCTCTATCCAGTTCCGTCATCCACCCAGCGCCATTTTCGGCACCTTGCCTAGCCACCCAAGCTTTAGCGTTGCCGTCATCGCTGACTGAACTCTCCCCCATATTCAGCTTCTTTTTCAAGGCAAGAAGAGGCGGGAAGAATTTTTCTAAAATTGGGCAGTGAATCAGATGTTACTCCGAGGGGAATGACGTTTTCCACGACTTTGCAAGTCGTGCAGCATAAGCAATAAATCCAGAGACAAGACAGCGACATTGGAGATCCCTGCATCCGGCGCCCAACCGAGTATTATCTGCTCTGGGCCTCGGCGGCATGACTGCCCTTGCTTGGGAATATCCTTTGGTTTTTGAGATTGCTGTCGTCCCAGTCTTCTTTGTTTTCCCTTTCCTGGTCCCCTTTTTTTTCCTGTGTTTGCAGCCGCGTTTTTTTTACGCGGTGGGCTCAATTCCAAGACATTTCCGTCATCCCGAGATGAGGGAGCTACTCCCGTCAAGGCCTGGTTGGCCTCGCAAGATAGCTGGGCTGGATCACGTGGTGGGCATGGATGATCCAAGTGGTCCGTGCAAATTTCTCGCAGCTTCTCTGCCCGCGCTCGACCAGCCACCCGCCTTAAGGTACTACTCTCCGCGCCTTGGACACCTTCCTGATTGCTGAGGTAGGTCGGAGCTCGGGAGGTGTCGTCCATGGTGGGTCGGCTCAGAGATCGGGGTACCTTAGCTCGGGAGGTATCTGGTACCGCGTCATCAGCGATGCACGCCATCCACCAAGAGGTCACTCGCAACTTGAGCTGTCTGCCCTGCGCAGGCGCCTGTTTGCGCCGCGCACCTTGGAGCTGAGAGCTCCCCCCCTCTCCGCGTCCCTCCCTCCCCCCATTCCTCCAGTCCTCGTCTGCTCACCCCCTGCCTCTGCATCCACGCCCGTTTGCCCGCCCTCCAACCGCGCTCCCCCCAACTTTTCCTTCCTCCTGAGCTTTTCCTCCTCCTGTGGGCTTTTTCTCCTTCTCCTGCCCCTTTTTAGCACTGCGACAGCCGCACACACCTCTCCAATTGTGCCAAACACAGCTCTGCCTACAGCAAAATCCTCTCCTACATATCAGCTTGCCCCTTTCTGCCACAATGTCCTCCAGCCGGAAGAGAAAGCAGGACGAGCCTGAAGACGAGCTTGTGAGCCTCCCTTCGGGCGACGAGGAGGAAGATGAGTAAGTCGACATTTCCGTTCGATGCAGGGGCTGGTGTGCTGTGGCCTTGAGTCGTATACCACTTGCGACGGCTTGCGCAAGCTTTGGCTTTGGTTGCCTCGACGGCACCCGATGGCGCATCGCACTGGCATCGCGCCGTCGTCCTTGAGTGTTGTGAACCGATCTCGCAGGGCGCGGCGCGCCAAGAACGATCACCCAACACACCTTGTTATCAACTATACGCCCAGTCTCTTGCTCAACTGACACGCGCATCCTGCCGACAGGTATGTGAGCGACGAGGACGAAGAAGACGATGACGTCGAGGATGATGATGACGAGGAAGAGTACGAAGAGAACGGCGAGGATGCTGGCGAGGAAGAGGAGAACGGCACTGTTGGTAAGTGGCAATATAAACCTGTCCTATCCTAGCCGCTTGCCTGGCCTTGCCTTGCGATCCAACCTGCGATGCAGGCATTGCCAGCTGCCACCACTTGAAATGGCCCGCTAACATTTATCTCAGAGAATGGCCGTCCCAACAAGAAACAGAAAACAGCTCCCTCCTCGGCCGACGCTGTGCCCGAGAACGGGGTCGATGAGGAGGGTGAAGAGGATGGAGATGGCAATGACGATGAAGATGATGAGGAGGATGAGGAAGACGCTGACGAGGGAGAAGAAGACGGCGATGAGGACAAGGAGGCTGCTGATGACCTCCCCGCCAAGGATGCCGTCAAGGTATCCAAGGTCACAGTCGCCAAGGACGCCGCGGGCGTCACAGCCGTCGCAGCTGGCGGCGACGACGAGGACTAGGTTGGGACACTGGTCCAACCTCCTCTCTCCGTGGGCATAATACGTCGGGCTCATCCTCCAATTTTGTATTGTGATTCTAGATGATTCTTTTTACCCTTGCTGGCACTGTCCGTCGTTGGTGTTGTTGCGCGTGCAAGGTGTTGGCTTGTGGCGCCCAGCCCGAGGTCGAATCAGACGTGATGCTATCACGAGTGGACGTGAATTTGTGAAGCAGTCCCATTCGCTTCGACGCTGCTCCCCTGGGTGAATGACGGTGTGGGCAAGATTGGTTGTAGTCACCGATGCCAGCACGGTCAGGGACCTCGGTCGCTTTTTGTATCGACGCAGCCCCCGATTTGGCCAGGCGTCCATTAGCCTCACCTGAGCCCCTCGAACCTTTGCCAGGGCCCAATCCAGCGTTGGGGATGGCCGTCAACTTTCCGTGGGGTCCCCACCCCCCAAGACCGGCACCCGATCACTCGTGGCTCCTGTCATTGCCAATGGGACCTGGATTTCTATGGGGATTCTCTTTTGTTCCCCCGCCTTGGATCCCATGAAGCCTTCTGGTTCGTCAACGGCGCACGACCCGAAGGAAAGGGGTTCCTGGTCACCGGGTCATGCAAGGAAGCCCGCATCTGCAGCCCTCTTCTCTCACGGAATCTCCCATCGACCATCGCGCCAAACATCGACTGAGCACCTTGATAGATAGGAGAAGGGTCGTGCATGTGCGCGCTTTCAGTGGTAGTACAGAGTGCCCTCGTGTGGGTATCTAGACACAGAAGGTTCTGGGCAAACGAACCGGTGTAGCCCTCTGTAGACCGCTAGGAGGCCAGAACCCAGGCGAGTTTGGCGTCACCAAAGGGACTTTGGCGCGCAAACGCAGACCAAGAGCATGGCGGTGATGGAAGCGCATCCATAGTATTCACGGGATTAGCAGGGTGCAAAATAAACTACACGAGCACCCCTCTAGTAGATCAGATGCATTCCGAGCAGTGACTCCCAATAGACTATCTAAATACCACCAAGTAAATGGCCACCTCGTATGTCGGTCGCAGCTTCCTTCTGCCACCCGTCCTTCACCAATCTTCCAGTAATTTCTCACCGGGATCGTTCCAATCAGTCTGAGGGGTCCGATCCGCTCCTCCTCACCCTCAAGGTATCACTTGACCTTTCACCACTCACTCAGGCCCTGAGATAATACACCCGAGTCCACCGCTTCTCGCCATAAAAGGTGACTACCACCTGGCCTACTTTTTCCGGCGTCTGTCAATGCCCTAGGACCAAAGTCCCAAACTCGACGCTGACACAAAGCGACACCTTGTACCAAGACAAGGCACCAAACCGGATCACGCACAATGTCACAACACCTGCCGCCGCTCGCCGCGGAGGACCAGGCCCTCCTCGCGGGCGCCACCATGATCGGGCTCGTCGGCGGTCCCGGTTCCGGCAAGGGCACGCAATGCTCCCTCCTGGTCCAGGACCCGGAGCTCGAGTCCACCACAGCCCACATCAGTATCGGCGACATTATGCGGCGGGAGGCCGACGCGGGCGGCGAGCACTCGGCCGCCATCAGGCAGTGGCACGCCGAGGGGGTCCTGGGCGACGTCAACGTCACCATGGCCGTGCTGAGGAGGGTGCTCCTGGAGCACGTCAAGGAAAAGGGCACCAGCGTGTTCCTTCTGGATGGTGAGATAATTACCTGCCACAGCGCGCGCGCGCGAGCAGGTTGCGCACAGAGGAAACTGAAAGCCGGGATTTCCGAGGCCGTTCTGACGTGGACCTTTGGTTGGAGGTGAACAGGCTTTCCGAGAGCCACGGACCGACTGGCCATGTTTGAGCAACACATCGCTCACATGGCATGTCTGCTGGTGCTTCGGGTGCCCGACGAGATCATGATGGACCGCCTCGCAAAGGCCAGTCGCGGCCGCGCAGACGACATGTCTCTAGAGTCAATCAAGGCCCGCATCGACACCTTCCATCAGCGAACGCAGCTAGTGATCTCGCATTTCTCACACATCATGGGCACGGTTATTTTCCTCGATGGAGACATGGAGGTTGAGGAGGTGTTCCACCACATGAAGCACTGGGTCAAGAACATCATCTACGATGTGGCACATTCTGAAGACTCACGGTATCTTGCTTCCCGCGATATAGCTGTTCACTGCCGCCGAAGGGCTGCTGCGCTTGAGATGGGACAGCGTGAAGAGAGGAATTAGCGCAGACTATGGGGTGATCCTGCTCCTAGGAGGTTTCCGATAAGCCGGTAAGGGAAAGGGGTCAAGCGTTGGTACAACACTCAAACCAAGCAGGAAGTGAACAACAACTCTAGCCCATGAGATTGAACACTGCGGCCCCGTGAAACTCTGCGCATAGAGAGATGAAAAGCAATAGATAGAACCCCAATCCAACACTCATAGCACAGCACAGTAATCAACCAAGAGAAGGTTTACGATTACCTTACGCTTTTAATGTCTTATAAAACCAGACAACGATCCATACATTGTTTGCCAGTTCCAAAAAGCATGTATTGCCAAAAAGTCCTTGGAATTTGCTGTTTTGGCTCTACGGTTAGCCGGCTGCAAACGAAGAGCACATACAGCAGGCGGGATGATCCTTAACCGGACATTGTTAGTTTATCGTCTGTGAACGAACAAGATGAGGAGCAATGCGACTCTTGAGAAATTCAAATCTTTATCCGCTAACTTTAACCGCGGCCGAGCATGTAACCTAGCGCCGATCGTAATCGTGGATGACAAACCCCTTGGCCAGTTTTCCGGGTGAGCAGCCATGTTCCAACTATAATAATTACATCGTATCCCAAAGGCTTCCCCACACCCTTGGTGGTGTTGATACGTTAAAGCCACAGGGAAGAGACTCACGAAATGTTCATTGTTGATCAATTTCACTCTCTGCCTCATCTAAGACTTGTCTAGTCTATCTCCAAAATTATGCCAAGAAGTGCAGTATGTAATCATCGCCCAACATCGTACCCTGAAGGCGATTCCGGAAGGCATAACAAATTAATTAATAATGGTAGATTTTGTAACTCCAAGAGTAAGGGAATTCACCAAAACAGCAACGAGGCGGTGTTATCTAACTTGCCATCCGTCACTGCTCGAATATGGAGACGAGGTCGACTGCGATGACAAGGATGCAGCCGATTGCACACCAGCGGTATGACATACAGCAAAAGCTCGCAACGTTGTCCCCAACTATCGTGTTTATGGAAATGCCTGTTGTGCCGGCCCTTAATAGCCCACCTCCCATTCTACATGACGACAAAAAGCAGCCGCAGGCTGGTTAGCTCACATCAAAGTCAGCAAGCTCGTTTCCGTTCTTGAGCGTGCTGTACGGCTTCATTGCCACATATGCTGTCAAAGTGCGGGGCCAAGCCCGTGGGCTCCGGTTCGCTTCGTCGCGGAAGCTGTCCAAGTCGCCAGGGAGCGTGTGGGAATGGGTTCTTGTAATCGTCGCCGCTGGCAAGCGCGCAGTATCACCCACAGGCTTCCTTGTCTTCCCACCTAACCACCACAATCGGGCATTTGAACCTAGCAATTGGCTTCTTCGGACGGCAGGCCAACGATCTCGTGTTCAAACTTTGTCGCTGTCGTCGATCTTTTTTGGCACCCATCGTAGACTCCACCGGGTCAGTGATACAGCTTGGTTTTGGGGTGAAAATTCTCCGTTTAATTTCCCAGAGCTCGTACATACCATCTGCGAGGGAAAGAAAGGATAAAAACCCACCCAGCAACAGGGGGTTAAAACTGGAGATCACAGGGGTGGCGAAAGGGGGGTCACGTGCTGGCATAAAATCACTGCCATTGTTGAAGTTGGTGAGAAATCGAGAAAAGCTTTCAAAGGACGAGAAATTCTCGAAGTCTCGTAACATCCCCGCAAGTCACCAAAACCCCTGCGATTTCCAGTTTCAAACCCCCTGTTACCCCCTTGTTACTGGGTGGGTTTTTATCCTTTGTTTCCCTCGCAGATGGTACTCCCTCGCACCCCTGCTCCAAAATGCGATCGTGTGTGACGTGCCAGCCGAACCCCTCAATCAGGGGAACCGAAGACGATCTTTGGTGGGATACCTCGATTAGCATAGGCATTGGGTTTCCTCGTTATTCTGAAGAATATTTTTTTACTTTGCCTGCGTCTGGTCTCCTTGCACTAGAGGGAGCCTGCACGGGCCATCCCTAGCACGGTCTTGCCCGCTTCTCGTGTCGCCTCGTATCGTCGTCTTCTGCCTAGACTCGCCGACCTCCCTATTTGGATCCCATTTAGAAGATCCAAATAGGGGGATTGAGATTCGCAGGCTAGGTAGAGGTGACTGCAGTGCTTAATCTCGGGCGCCAGGCCGGCGATTATGCACAAGGTTCCCCTAGCTGTTCGTCTTGACCTCACCGTACCCACAGTGCTAATCAAACCAGTTCATGCCAGGCTGGGCGGAGAATTTTTGCATCAAGCCGAGGCAGTGCAGGGCTCTGCCGCTGGGAACAGGCGGATTGGGGCGAGAGCGATTCCATCGTGGGTGATTTTCTAGTAGACCCCATAATGTATAGGGGTAGGTAGGTAGGTATATAAGTCCAGCCCTCGGGGCTGCTAACACTATCATCGCGGTTCTTGTCTTCACCTCCCCTCCACCCACTCCGACGCTCGTTTCTTTCTCCCTTTGCTCCTCGCCATGATGAAGTTCTTCGCGTTGGTCAGCCTCGCCGCTGGCGTCGTGTCGGCGGCAGCTGATGTGCCCATCGGCTCCTACATCCCCGTCAAGGCGCCGTACGACAACCTATGGAGCGACATCACCAACGAGGAGAAGAGCGCCATCCTCAAGTACATCGAGGGTGAGCAGGGTAAATCCATGTAAGTTCCAATGTGACCAAGCCGTGACGGACATGTGCTGACGAGACCAAAGCCACCAACTCAACTTTGTCTGGGGCACGGTCTGGGGCCTTCCTCCGAACAAGACCGAGGCAACCCTGTACCTGTCGGGCCAGGGCCCAAAGCCGAAGCGGTATGCTCGGATCATGGGCGGCGGCGATTGCATGGACCGCGAGTACATGGTCGGGCCGCTCCCCGTCACCAACGAGACCAGAGCCACGCCCCTCGACTACATGTACCGCGGGAACGCAACGCTGGTGAGCAAATCCTCGTGGTGTGCCCCGCAGAGCTCCGCCAAGCACCGCCGCGAGGCCGCCGAGGAGGCCCGCAAGAACAGCAGGGAGCAGCGCATGGCACTGGAGCGTCGCGACCCTAAGAGCCCCTACGACGAGAAGATGGGCTGGAACGGCGACAAGCTGCCGCACGACGAGCTGGAGCCGCCCGTGGCCATCCTGCCCGGCGGGGCGCGGCACGAGTTCGACCCGGAGCAGAACTACGTCCGGTGGATGGACTTTTCCTTCTACGTCGCGACGGGCCGCGCCGGAATCACGGTGCACGACATCCGCTACAAGGGCGAGCGGGTCGTGTACGAGCTCGCGATGCAGGAGGCGCTCTCGCACTACGCCGGCCCCGACCGGGCCCAGACGTACGCGTCCTACATCGACGTCGCCGTCGGCTTCACCGCCTTCAACCTGATCCCCGGCTTCGACTGCCCGTCCTACGCCACCTACACCAAGGCCTTTTGCCTGTTCGAGTTCCCCAAGGACTTCCCTATGAGCCGCCACTTTGACCGGAAGAACAGGAGCTACGACGCGACCAAGAACACGGCCTTCATCCTGCGCAGCGTCAGCACCGTCGACAACTACGACTACATGACCACGTACGAGTTCCGCCACGACGGCTCCATCGAGGTCCTCGTGCGCGCCTCGGGCTACATCCAGGGCTCCCGCGCCGTCGACGAGAAGGACGCGTGGGACTACGGGTTCCGCATCCGCAAGGACCTCTCGGGCTCCATGCACGACCACGTCCTCAACTTCAAGGCAGACCTCGACATCCTCGGCACCAAGAACAGCCTGTTCAAGACCCAGTTCGTCCCGCACCAGGAGGTCTACCCCTGGTCCAACGGCGAGGTGGTCAACACCATGAAGGTCGAGCGCAGCTTCGTCGCCAACGAGGACCAGGGCAAGATCAACTGGGCGCCCAATGCGGCCGCGTCCTACTCGGTCGTCAACAAGGACAAGCCAAACGAGAACGGCGAGTACCCGGGCTACAAGATCTACCCGTCCACCGGCTCCAGCATCTACCTCACCATCCAGAACTCGACCGTGTTCCCTCGCGAGATCAACTGGGCCACGCACCACCTCTACGCCCTGCAGCGCAAGGACGGGGAGCCCGTGTCGGCGCACCCCGTCGTCGCCTGGGACAAGGGCAAGCCGCCCTACGTCGACTTCAACAACTTCTTCGACGGCGAGTCGCTGGACCAGGAGGATCTCGTCGTCTACTTTAATTTGGGCATGCATCACATGCCCGACACCTACGACCTCCCAGTCACGGTTTTCCAGGGTGCCCAGTCCGGCATGACCCTGCGGCCCCAGAACTACCGGCGCAGCGACGGCTCGGTGTCCACCAGGCAGCAGCTCCACCTCGGCTACCAGGTCGTCGAGAAGTACGGCAGGGAGGACCTCCAGGGGTCGTACGACCTCGCGAAGGCCAATCCGCCTTTCTACCCGACTAATTGATCTGATTTTGGTCGTTTATCTGTTTGCTAGAGAGCATCACGGCGTCATGACTGAAATTCGTTCTATAGACTGGGTACATTTATACCGATGCGGGTTTGGGTTGCATACCACGAACTATACATAGAAGACGTGTTAATCATTAAACCAATCGTCATCCATTCCAAAAGGGCAGCCGTTATGTTATCGCCGCGGGATGTACAGATCTGGTCCGCATTACTGCCGAGGTGGTGTTGGTGCCATGCCGCATGTGGGAGAATGGGAGGCTGACGGGCGAGAACATCCAGGATTTCCCCCCAATACCAAGAAGTGAGGTTGTCGAATAAAGCAGCACCGCCGAAGAGCATAGCCTAGAAAATATGGGGCATATGGGGCTTGCGTGATGAGCCCGGAGAATCCTGGTACGTCTCTACTAGTGACACGGGAACCTGGACTTCTTAGTCCCCAGTGGCATTCCATTCGCTTGTCCCAACATATCAGGCATTTGCCTCTGGTTGAGGATCGGTTTATTTCTATTGTGTCTTTTATCGCCCTACGTTCCTGTTCCTACCATGAACGACGAGGCAATAAGCGGCTTTGGCTCCCCGGAGACCCCGTCCCACCACCCCTACTATTCGAGTAACACAATGAAAGAGGTGGTCCCCGCGACTTGCAAAGAGGCGCTCTCCTCACTAGGGGCAGACCCTCAGCCCGTTGTTCCAGAACAAAGCATAAAATCTGACGTGGCACAGACGCCACAGATGCCCTGGCTGCCAATAGAGTCATCATACCCGCCGCGGCACCCAGTCGAGTCAACATTAGCGGGTGAGCAAAGGCGACACAAGGTTTGCGGTATGAGCATCGCGACGTTTGTTCTAGCGGTGGCCTTGTTTGTTGCTGTCATCGGTGCAGCAGTGGGCGGTGGTGTTGGTGGGAGCATGGCCGCGAGTACTTCAAGAAGGTGAGCTCTCGATATTTACCGTGGTTGCCTGTGGGATTCTTCTTGCTCAAAGAGATCCGGACGCACTCGCATTCCTCCAATGCGATCTGCTCGGCTAACCCCTTTTGTGCTACTACATCTAGTCTAGAAGAATGCCGAAGCGCCCTCAACCGGCAGTCCTCGCCATCCACTCCCATCTCAAGCACCCCTCCGTCTCCTCCTTCCTCAACCGGCGCCCCGGACGGAAACTGCACAGCCAACAAGAGGGTCCTGGAGATTGGGCCCAACGGCGGCGTCGTGCCGCCGACCAGGGACGTCGTCGTCGAGCTCGGCTGCCCAGCCATGCAGTCGGCGCAAAAGATCCTAACGATTGACGGCAAGCGTTTAACCTTTGCCATCCGGTGCGGAGAGGACTTTAACCGTAAAGATATCGGCGCGGCCATTTCCTACTCAATGGACGACTGCCTTTACTCGTGCGCGTCGTACAACGTCATCAGTGGTCGCCAGGAATGCGTTGCCGTCACATTTTCTGCCGAGCTGTCGGGCTCGGTGGCGGCTCGGGGCGCCAACTGCTGGCTAAAGAACGAGACGGCCACCCCGCGCAGAAACTTGGGAAACAAGATCGCAACCGGGAGACTAGAGACGATTGGGACGTGACCTGCTGTCAATCCCCGGGCCGGGTTGTTTAGAGTCCTTCTCTGGAAAACGCCTCGACGAGCGTCATTCTGTCTGATTGTGCATATGCTTTGGCACAACTAGCTCGTGAACGACTGCAATGTTGGACACGGCCCGAACTTGAAGTGGGTTCGGCAAGGACGCTCTGGTCTTGGTGACTACCTAGTCGGGCTGTGGTGATGGCTCTGGTTGCGTTGACGGGCGCCCTCTTTCTATAAATTTCTTCATGACTGTCTAAGCCCAAGGCCAGCGCGAATGTCTCTTCCCTAGATAACATATTGACATACTTTTATACCCGCTTAAATGATAGCGGTGAGTGAACATGTAGTGTAGCCTGATGTTCACCAGCGAAAAGCAAACTACCTATACATCCCATGTTCGTTTTGAATCGACCAACCTGCCTCTCCCGGAATGAAAAAATCACCCCGCGCACAAAACGTGGCGGTCTTGCAGGCTTTAAGAATTCCAGTAAAAATATTCAATGCTAAAAGGCTTTCTTATTTTTATTTTTGTTTTTATTTTTGCTTGTTCCTGCTTGCCCGTTCTTATCCCAATCCCTAAAAAGGATGTTTCCACCCATTAGCGTTTAGGTGGACCGCCATTTTTTGAGTGGTGTCCGGGCGTGGAGACCTTTCAGCACCAACTACCACTTTAGGCAGGTACTGGTGACTGCACGACATCAGCTCGCAGAAGCACAAAACGAAGCGATAGCGGCGATAGCTAGGTTGCGTTTCTTCTTCTTCGTCTTCTTTTTTTTTTGCCTCAACTGGAGTGCAACCTTGCAAAATGAGCGCACGCGAGCAACATCAGATCTTCGTCATCGCCCGTCCGGCGCCTGGCCAGCACTACCGCTGCTTTGCCGTCGCGGAAGACCTGTATCTCTACGGAACCTCGGTCCTCAACACCTGCCTCCGCCTCGTACGCATCTTTTCCAGCCCTCTAAACAGAGTCCCACTCCAGCAGGAGATCGCGTTCGCTCGGGAACACTACTCCCATGAAGGCGCTAAGCAGTTGGAGCACCAGTGCGCGGAGACCAAGCCTGTCCCGTTCCCTTTCGTCGCTGCCTGCCTCGTGTTCGGTACGTTCGATATCCCTGCCGAAGCCAAGCCATGGAAATGTCTCAGCTGATCATATTCTCCATAGGTGTCGCCAATAACCCAGACGATGGCCAATCCAAGTTCGTCGACCTCCAACCGATGGGCCACGGGTTTGACCAGTGTAGCCGCAATGGCGTCACCATTGTCGACATCACAGACCTGGACGACATCCGCTACTGCTTTGCTGCTTTCCATGACATGGGGGCTGAGAGGGGAGTGCCTTTGCGCACCCCTCTGTCGGCCATGGACTACGTGCTGGCCTTCTACGACCCGCAGCACCAGTTCATGGTCCGCAGCCAAGAAACCTTGAAGGCTCTAAAGGAGTACGGCCTGGTTCAAATCGAGGCGCTTAATGGTAAGTGTTGGGTTCCTTGTCTTATTTTTATTGCACTTCTTTTCCTATTTTTCATTCATTCCTTTTCTGATTTATATTTACAATTCTTCCTATCATTATTTCTATTCCTAAATGGGCCTCCCCCCACACCAACATTTCTTATCCCTTGAGCCTGTATATATGTGGGATGCGGCTAACTGTGCATGGTTGTATCCCGCAGACCGCAGGCTTGCTAAAGCATTGGGCGTCAGCGAGGAGGGTGTCAAGAGCTTCTTGCATGGCCAAGGGCCTACGGCAGACAAAGACGACAAGACCGCTATCTCTTTGCGCGATATGGCAACCCACAAGCTCCTGCGGGAGCTTCTCCATGACCCTAGGCCCGATATCTCTCTCCTCGATGTCCCGCTTGCCCTCACCGGCGTCCGCAACGCTGCTCTGGGCTATTTGATCGAGCACGCCTCCGATGTGGCCAAGTGTCCTGCAGGCCCGGCAGTTCTCGCGCTCATTCTTGCCGGCCAAAACAAGGTTGACCTATCTCGTTTCCCCGGCCTGACCGCCGATGGCATTCGAGAGGTTCTCAGCAGCAAGCGGCTCAAAACGGCCGAGATCATCAACCTGTCCGGCACCCAGGCCTTCGACACCAGTGACGACATCAAAGCCACCATGAGTGCTCTGGGTCCTAACGTCCGCGAGCTTTACTGTCTGGCCCGTCCTGACCGGGCACATGACGACATATCGGTGGCTCTCGCACTCCGTTCCGGACTCGTCCGAGATATCCGCCTCCCCCAGAAGATTCTCTTGGGCGCGGTGCTTTCCGCCAGCCTCCGGGATCTTTGTAGCCTCTTCAGCTTGAGGAATGGCCGCGGCGGCAGCCAAGAGGATCTAATCATCAAAGAGTTGGGACTTGAAGACCTCAACCGGCTCAAACCGAGGGCCCTTAATGGACGGCCCACCGACCCCAACCTCTCCAGACTGGCCGACCACACAATTTCCTGTATCACAGCTCCTTCTTCAGGGCAACCTAGGCTACATGATGCGTCCCGAATGCGGGATTGTACATCTCGACGACGGCCTCATCGGGCCCGCGCGCGTCATTACCGGCCTTCTCGCCATAATTCGCGATCAATGGTTTGTCACCATTCGCGGCCCATGGCGTGACGCCGAAAATATAGGCTTTAGCAGCTGCTTGTTCAAGGTCGCCTGTGCTTTCGCCATGGAGGCGGCAACCGTAACGACGCCGCGCGGAGACGATGCGGGCGGGACAGCAGCCGCAAGGCCGTCGCTCTGCAGCATGGAGATCAACCACCCACCTGCCCACGCCCTACGCACTGGCTTCCGTGAGAGGCTTAATTTCTTGGACTTTGAGGGGCTACGCGAGCTTCCGCAACCCCTGGGTCCGGACCGGTGGACCGCGATCATCGCCTTCAGCAACTCCGAGACCGGCCACGGAAGCGAAAGTAGCCAGGACGCCGGGAGGGTGGTCGGACTCCATGTGGAGGTGGGCTTTGTTCGTACCCGAAACGGTGCCACGACCCCTCGCCGCCGTGATGCGTCAAGCTCGCTCAACGAGTTCGAGACAACCCGCAGGACCTGGAGGTTGTGGGGCTGGTCGACTTTGCGCGGGCGTACCAGGCTATGGCGCCGGATGGCGTTGCCGAGCGGATCGCCGAGCTTGAGGAGTTTGGACGTGTTATGCTTGACAAGGTTAGCGACCACGCCTGCGTCAGCATCACGACTGCAACGGCAGTAAAAGCGGCGCACCTCATCCAGGAATACCTAAAGAAATGGTGCGTTTTTCTCCCTTCCTTCCTCATCTTGCCTTTCCCCTCTCTCATCTTGCCTCTTTCATTTTTGCTCTGGTCTTTTTCCTTTTCTCTTGCCTTGTTTCTTTCTCTTACCCTTTTCCATTCTCCTTTTGCCTCTTTCGTTTTTCGTCTTTCGTTGTTCCTTTTTCATGTCTGACTTTTCCCTTTCTTACGGTAACTGCTAACGCAATCAAATTTATTACAGCCCAGCCGATCGTTAATACCGGAATCGTTTTTGCTCGAACCCGGAATCAACACGACCCATCCTGATAACCGCTCCACCAACATCGCGTTTTATAATTCGATTTTATCAGGTGCAGTCGAATAGATTATAGGACATGGGTTACTGAGAGAGAGAGAGAGAGAGAGAGAGAGAGAGAGAGAGAGAGAGAGAGAGAGAGAGAGAGAGAGAGAGAGAGAGAGAGAGAGAGAGAGAGAGAGAGTAGGTAGGTAGGTAGGTAGGTAGGTA